ATTTTCCTTCTGAGTATGATGAGAAGGTCATCATGATTTCTTGGCTGTGATTGTTTTGTACCTCTTATTCATGTCTGACAGTGTTTTCTTTGCAGTGTGAAAATGGAACAAGGAACAGTGACAACACTAATTGAAGAAAATGGCATTATCAGAGGAGTGATGTACAAGAACAAGGCCGGAGAGGAGATGAGAACATATGCTCCGCTAACCATAGTATGCGATGGCTGCTTTTCAAATCTGCGCCGCTCTATCTCTACTCCCAATGTAATTCATTGATTTCAGTCTTTAGAATTCGAACATTTCTTTTATATTTTAGCATTGAAGTGTTTGCTATTATAGACCAACAAGACTAACTTCTCTAAATACTGCAGATTGAAAATCCATCCTGCTTTGTCGGTTTGATCTTGGAGAACTGTGAGCTTCCTCATGCAAACCATGGACATGTGATTTTGGGAGACCCTTCCCCCATCTTGTTTTATCCTATTAGTAGTACCGAGGTTCGTTGTTTGGTAGATGTACCCGGCACAAAAGTACCATCAGTAGCTAACGGTGAAATGGCTCAGTATTTGAAAACTGTGGTGGCTCCTCAGGTATTTATTATTTTGCTTGACTTTATTAAATTTCAATGTCATTCATTTCGACCGAAAGGGACTAATCTGCTGAATTTGTCTCTTCAGGTTCCCCATCAGCTCTTAAAGGCTTTTCTAGCAGCGGTTGATAAAGGAATCATCAGAACAATGCAAAACAAAAGCATGCCGGCTGCTCCTCAGCCCACCCCTGGCGCAATTTTATTGGGGGATGCTTTCAACATGAGACACCCTTTAACTGGAGGAGGGATGACTGTGGCTCTTTCCGACATTGTTCTTCTCAGGGATCTTTTGAGACCCCTAAGTGACTTCAACGATGCACCTGCTTTGTGCGATTATCTCGAATCATTTTACACGCTCCGCAAGGTATATTGCTGCATTTACGATATGTAAATTAAAATTCTCTCTTATCAGACAGTCTGACATGTTATGTTGTTACGTCAAGCACTGATTCACAATTTGACAACATAACAAGTCAGATATATATATCTTGGCGAGAGCATATTATCATGCATGTGGAAATGTGTCTGATGAAATTAGTTAATTTTCATTGCAGCCTGTGTCATCTACTATAAACACATTGGCCGGTGCCCTTTACAAGGTGTTTTGTGCTTCGCCTGACCTCGCAAGACAGGAAATGCGTGAAGCATGTTTCGACTACTTGAGCCTTGGCGGCATCTGTTCAAATGGACCAATATCTCTACTCTCCGGTCTTAACCCTTGTCCAGTCAGCCTGTTTCTCCATTTCTTTGCTGTGGCTGTCTATGGAGTCGGCCGCTTAATGATTCCATTCCCTACACCGAAACGGATGTGGTTAGGGGCTAGATTGATCGTGGTATGTTTACTCATTTTCCCAGTACCTTCTCATCTGCAAGCTTGTTATAAGTCATATTACAAACAATACAAACATGAATCGCTAACTAATCTTTTGGTTTTCAATTTTCAGAGTGCATCAGGAATCATATTCCCGATTATTAAAGCCGAAGGAGTTAGACAGATGTTCTTTCCTGCAACAATGCCAGCATATTACAGAGCTCCTCCTGTTCACAGAAGAATCGAAACAAGAACGAAGCTTAAATGTTAAGAGAAAAACCAAACAAAATACTTGTATCATATTAGCATTTACCCTCGCAAACAAGGTGAGGGATCAAAGCTGAAATTAGGAAAGAAAGCCGAGCAATTATGTTTCTCAATTCTTTTTAGCATTTGTTATTCTGCAAGAAACTTGTATCAAACTCTTGCAGTTCGTAGTTAACCTAGACATATTTTTTTCAATGTTTGACTTAATTTGTTCCACACGTGAAGTCTTCAACTCTTGCAAGTTTCAACTTTCAACTACTTTTCTTTTGGGGAAAATCTTGGGTAAAATCTTGGAGGCATTCTGTATTGTTTAGAATTCATTAGGAAAGTGGCAGTGTTCCACCATGTCGTTCATTCATATTTTAATTAAAACACTTGTATTTGTTTTTCTTAATGTCCACTAATAATAACTTATGCTTATACTGTAAGAAAATGTTCATAGGGAGATCGTGCTTGAGACTTCAAAATTTAACATATAATATAACATGTATGACAAGATCTAGCAATTAAATCAACGTGTAAAGCTAGATCCGGTGGAAGCAAAAACCATGTGAAATAAACTAAATTCCCTTTAAAGATCAAAGATCTAAATTGTGGATGTATCCACATGTTAAAATTTGGCGAAATGGCCAGTTTTCCGAAACAAAAGCCCAATGAGTGGGTCTCTTGGGCTACCTTTGTACTCTAAAGTCATTTTACAACTTAAATCAAGCCCAATGAGTGCCCTATGTACTAAGCTAATCTGAAAACTATTTTAAGGCCCAATATAGACGTATAAACGTCAATTTAATTAATTGATTTTTTTTTCAATTAATTTCTACCTCCATCCAAATTTAAACCACAATATTACTAGGTTATTGTGAAGCTCAGCCCACTCCTCCATCTCTTAATGTAGAAAATAATATTGTTTGTTAAAAAAAAAAATTAATCTAATTAATTAATTGCTTCATCATTTGGTGTTCATCCCAATCTATGGGTGTGCGGTCTATTAGAGCATGTCTAATGGTAGGGGCAAGAGTCAGGGACTAAAGACGAAATCTAGCCCCAAAAGTGACACTATTTATGAAATCTTGCCTTTCAAATTTTTATTGCTCTAATGGTAAAAGAGGTTAGACGCTAAAAAGTGTTAGGTGATGATTTTTATTGACTACCAATTCTATCATAAATAAAGTTTATAGCTACAGTGTCTAAAGTAAAGCCAATGTTCTACAAATCGGCCTAGGTGGCCGCCTAGTCGCTACACGGTGGTCATCCATCCCGATTCGATCCAAATCGAGAGGAAAATAGGAGAAGAGAATAAGTAGGCTGCAACTAGGGTGCCTAGGCAGGTGCTGGAGGCTCAGTAGGTCTAAGCATGGTTGAGAAAGGAAAGACGCAGGGCCTCTGTTTTTAATTTGGAGAACGAGGAACACAGCTTTTTTTCGAGGAAGAAGACGATGCATAGGAAAACTTCATCTGCCAATCCCATGTGACAAACATATTTTTAACTGTTGCCCAATACCAACGTGCCACCTAACATCCCACTTGTTGAATGGGTTTGAAAAAAACTACGAAACTAACATACAAAGCCCTTAAACTTTACACATATATCCATATTTATAATTATTTATTCAAAATATATTTTTTTAAGTACATAAGCACTCATTTAATTTTTAAGTATAAACATATACTTATTTACACAAAATATAATAGATTTACTTAAATCCGCTTAGTCCGCCTAAGCACTAGACCCCAGCCCGCCACCCGACTAGTGCCTAACTTCTTTTAAAACCTTAAGTAAAGCTATGAGTTAGAAGTTTAGGAGCCTAGAGTTCTAGTCATAACCGATAAAAGTGGTGGAATGTGCGAAACCACGTATTGGATCACTCCAGTGCGGCATGAAGTCGTTGACACCGAGTATTGGCCCCTTAAGGAGTCCTCGGTACAAGCTGGGGCTAAACTAGCCTCTTGAAATGCCTTAGGTTATTTTATTTTATTTTTTGAACAAACGATATTATTTATACTAAGGGAGAGAGGGTGTGTTTAGTCTCACAATGAGTTAGCAATAATATGGTTTAAATTAACCTTTAGCGAGAGCTGAACCTAAGACTTCTCACTTATAAATGAAGAGGAATACTATTAAGTAGCTACCCTAGGCTATTTTAACTTTGACAGGATACGTCTTTGTCATTTAAATCACTCAATTCCTCGCCGATTAGGATAAACATAAGAATGTCTTTTTAATCCAACTTCTTTATATTACTTCTTCTTTTAAGGCATACATCTAACAGTTTACGATGTAATAATCCATGTTGGTGGTGCAATACCAATATCATTTGATAGCCTCACAATTATTATGTAATTACATTGGATAATAAACTTCGATAATTATGATATAACTTTATTAAAACAAAAGGTAGCTATACAAATTTTTTTTAAAGAATAATGTAGAATTTCTCTACTTGTTGAATATCATGTCTATTATTTCTTTTTATTATAAGCGATATTCTATATAAAAGGAGAGAGAAGGTTTGAATAGGAGACACAATGGGTTGAAGAGGAATATGTTAACCATTAAGGTTGTAAAATTTATCTACTTGATGAATATCATGTCTATTTTTAAATATGAGTATTAGTTGAAAGAAACATGCGAGTAAAGGATAACAAAACTGGACCCCTAAAATTCAAAAATCAGAAATATTTAAAAATGACAAAGTGACTCATATATTGGTTTGGTCACTTGGTTAAAACAGTGTGTCGGTTCCACTAGAGTTTGAAGCCTCTTTTCTTTGGATAAGAATATTTTAGAATATTGCCTAAAACAAATTTGACCGAGTGGTTGTAATGCTCTTAGTAGATGTCTAATGAAATCCAACATTACAAATGCATAACATTCTTAAGAGATGCGCAATGTACCCAATTTCAAAAAGATGTATATCTACACTATTGATGTTCTTACCATTACGAGCCATTTAAAAATCATCTATCTGGAAACATGACAGATTGGTTTAACGTTCTTTGGATATGTGCAACGAAAACCGATAAAACAGACACATAACGCTTGTACAAAATGTGAAATATGTGACATAAACGACGTGTAGCGTTCTTAGAAAACGCAAAACATCTAACAAAAAAGATGTGAAACGTTCTTTGGACGTGTGCAACGACTAAAAAACAAAAAAAAAAAAAAAATAGTAAATCCAATATGCGACCCAACTTCCCAACTTGAACGGTATCCACGCTTTGGCGGGGATTTTATATCTATTGACCTTGACCTGTGGCAAGTCCACACGAATACTAATTCCTTGCTTGTCAAGCATACCTACCTACGCACGGTTACACTGTATAACACACTCTCATGCAGTAAACTACACGCGGCGGGAAAGGAAAGAGTCTTTTGAGCACGCAGTCGATCAGTCGCCCTTTCCTCAGCCGCGAGTCCTCCGCAAAACCCTTTTTCCGATTGTGTCAATCTCCGATTTCTCAACCGATACTCTCGCCAGCGCTTTTTGTGAAGACCCAAAATAGGTATAAAATCCTTCTGTAGAAGTCCTGGTTTTTAATGTTATTGTTTTTTTAATTTTTTTGAACTTTTTATTTGGGTGCCTGCGTTTTCTGGGGTTTACTGGGTGATGATTTTGTGAATTGGTTATGTGTATGTTAAATTTATTATTTGATTGGTTAAATTTGATTTGTTTTTTTTTTTGTTTTTGTTTTTTGTTGAATTTCGTCCCGGAATTTTTTGAGGTTTCTTGAAGTTAATGTAACTTTTAGCAAAAATGAGATGACTAGTGAAACCACCAAGATGGCAAAATTTTCCAGTATTTAAATTTCCTGTTTTGTTTTCAGTTTTCAAAATGGGTTGGTTTTTGGAGAAGGGGAGCCAAAGCCACAACCCATTCGCCAATTTATTTATTAATTCAACAACAGAAAAGGGGAGGGGAAGAAGAAGAGAGCGAAAGAGCGCAATTGAGACTTTGGTGGGGGCGGGTTGTTTGTGTTGGGGGGGATGAGGGTTTCTACAGTTTAAGAAGAAAAAAAAATAGTGAAACTCAAAACAGGGTAAAATGCATTTTGGAATAAGCTACCTTTTTGGAGGTTTAGTGGTGGTTCTCCATCTATGCTTTGCAAAGAGGCTGTTTCCACAAACTTTTCCGTTGCGCCAAGGCTCGCTCTCAGAAAGTTACCCGCTAACCATAAAATAATCTAATGCAATCCTAAAACAATGTAGTCTTGGACAAAAGTAAAATTACATCACATAAAACATAAACATAGGATAGGATCATGTAAGTCATATCTCAATATTTTTTATAAATGATTTTAAGTTGATTTTAAGTTTTAGTCTCCCATTGTACAGGGAGATAGACTTGGCACTTGTCTTTACTAAACATGGTTTTTCATCATTTGATTAAGTGCGGTGCAAGTGATTTTATTTAAATCTAGTCATTGGAGATGCTTCCTATAGATATGCTTTGTATGTGGCTTTATTTACCTGAACTGATGGAAGTGTTTAACAGAGAAAAATGCATGTATATATTGTACGATAAATAACATGTAGGTTGTCATTTGGGAGGGTGTTTTATGAAAGCTTATATAGCTCTCCTCAATGTTTGCATTTCTGTACATGCCATTTTTTCTTTTGAATGTAATTGCTTGTGAAGTCCTTTACATAGCTTTAAACCTTACAAAATGTCTGTTGTTTATGGATTCTCTATATTAAAGGCGCGCTCAAGCTGAACACAATATGGATCCAGTCAATTGGAGAACTAAATTTCCTGCAGAGTCTCGAGAAAAAGTTGTGAACAAGATGTAAGTTGAATTGCATTATTCATATCAAAGCATCATTTGAAGTCCCCCGTAAGGGTTTTTCCTTTTCTTATTACTTTGATTCTGTCTTATCATTAGATTTTTGGATTAGTACTTTAAAACTTGTTTAAGTACCTGAAAATTCAATTTTGAGGTGATAAGCTTTATGATGGCTGAACTTGGGTGAGCTTCAGGATGACCAATTGACAAGCCTGGAAGGGAAATATTTAATATATCTTCTGAACTAGATATGAATTTTTAAGCCAAGTTATGAGAATCGGATTGACTAAATATGTATTACGATACTGTTATTTTACTAAGCGGGTTCTGATTAGTTTACGAATATAATTAATTTTGTAATTTCATTGGTCGGCATGACTCCAGAACAATTTCTCATGCAGTATAAGTAGCTTAATGAAGCGTTTTCCATATTCTGAGCACGAGAAACATATGTCTGATTACAAGAGGATAGCTGTAAATTTCGAGGAAAAGGTTTATATGGTTGCCAGAGACCAGGTAACTTAAGTTATGAGATGCCTTTCTTCTCAAGCTTATATTTCTGTTATTTTCAGAATTTCCCCTCTCGAACCTAACAACCTATGTTTAATTTGGAAATAAACCTAGAAGATAAATCTCTGCAGTTCACTGACGCTTTTTTTATATATATGCTGATTAGAAAGAATAGTTGAGTAAATATTTTTTTATCAGCCTGAAATAAACATTTCTTGTTTAATTTAGCAAGACTATATAATGCGGATCAAATCGAGGTTGGAGTCAAAAAACTTGAATCCAGGTATGCCATTATTTTGAAAACTAAATTATTGAGTTTAGCAATATCAGATTGTTTGAAGTTTTGCTTCTAAAATAGACTGTTTATGTGCATTATGTATGCTCGCCTTCATTTTAAAGAAGAAAACAAAAGTGGGTTATATATATTTTTTCCTTAAATCTGGAATGGTGTTAACATGAAATGTAATGTTAGCTATATCTTTGTTGGGTACACATGATATCATCTTCCCTGGCAACATAATCAAATTTTTTTTAAATCATGAAACAGGAGATCATTTGTGGTTTTTATAGGGAAAATCTGAGAACTGTTTTTTATATCTTTGGTGGCTACAAGAAGCTTTTCTATGAACATTTGCAAAAGGTCTATGCTTACACTGGAAGCTTGAGATATCAAATCTCTCTCTCTCTCTCTCTCTCTCTCTCTCTCTCTCTCTCTTTCTCTCTCTGGTGTGTGTATGTGTGTGTGTGTGTGTGTGTGTGTGTGTGTGTGTGTGTGTGTATCTTCAAGTCATTTGCTTTCCCAAGTGATACTATTTTTTCAGTAGTGACAGAAGAATATTTACATTTTGAATAGTGATGAATTTGTTGGTCACTATATTCTCAGAAGCTTGTGCTCCGACATGGGACAAGGATTATTTTATATTCTAATACTTGTCGCATGTGTACTTCAACCAACCATTATAATGCCTAACATCAGGAGTTGAACTTACAATGGGAACTTGTAATTACTAGGATTCCAGTTCAGGATCTCCTACATATATTTCTTGTATTCTTCAAAATTTGAATTAATTAATCTTTTTTTATCATTATTTTATAATAACATCGTATGGTATTCATCTCCAAGGTGGTAAGCAAGGCCAATCGATTTCTGTTCAAGCCACAACTCTGTCCCAAGCACATGAACAACATTCATTGCCTAATGTTCAAGATAACAATGCATCTGGTGGAGTCGTTACTAATTTAGCATCTGCACGGCCCACTGTCAGTATTTCGCCTCACGTTGCTTTGCCAAACAATGCTAGTGAAAATTCCAATTTGCAGAGTGTGTTTGGTAATTCACAAAGGTCTGTAGGAAATTTATCAGGGTGTGGCCAACCTTTTAATATTTCTGTCAATAATTTGAGACAGGAGCAAGGGAGACAAAATTCACCCCAGATTGTTTCTCAGCAGAACCATGAGCAGCTAAATCCTCATCTTTATAAGCAGGTAAAGCAGGAAAATATCTCACCGTCATATATAACCCAGAAGCAACTACAGCCGCAGCACCACTACCAACCGAAACTCTTAAACCCTACTCAGCAACACACCTCTCAAAAATCTATGTTGCAAACTCCTGTCATGTGCCCTTCGGAGACACGCGTTGCTCAACTTTCTGATATTTGGCAGGATCAGATGTCTTATTTTGATCAGACAACACAGTCGGGGAATAAGACTCAGTCACAGATAGCCTTTAGGCAAACAAACCAATCACAAGTGGCTCTGGATATTCATCAAAATGTGTCATCAAGTTCACAGAACCCATTAATGCAATCACAAAAGCAAGTACATTTGATAGGGAGAAAGTTGACTGCTACTAATACGCAACAGAGCCACTTAGATGGGCAACCAAATGGCTGCCCTAACTTGCACCAGCAACAGCCCAGGTTACCATGCCAACAGAATACTGTACAACAGCAGTTTCAGGTACAGAAAATAAATCATTCAAGTGCACATCATGAGCAATTGAGTGAAAGAAACAATATGTATGTACTGCCACAAAGCTCACAGCTGCTTGAAACAGAGTGTGCCAGCTCAGGCATGCGCCTATGCGAGGTTAAAATGCAGGGGCAAACCCAACATAAAGCTTCAGTTCTGCTGCCAAATCAAGATCAAGAATCACAAGCAGATTCTCTTGAGAGACGACTGAACTCACAAATACAGCCACAGAAGATGGAACAACTGCCAGATCCATCAGCACAAGATCAGCAGCAAACATATCAAACATCAGGTAAAACTGTGGAACCAAATCATGTATCAACAGAAAAAGTTGATTTATTAAATAAGAAAATAAGTAGAAATACCTTCCTAGATTCATTGTTGATAAATTATTGAGTTGCTAATTTCTATGATCTTATTCCGGAAGTGTGGAAAACTTCTAACTAGGGCAGGCTAGTTCTGATCAACCTAATAATCAAAATTAGCTCACCAAGTTATGTAGTTTGTTGTTAAAATTAGTTCTAACTTCGTAGTAACATTTGGGTATCTGTCTTGAAAATATATGTTCTGACTACCTATTTTCTTATCATTTTGTTGGTTTTGTTATCTACTGATTGACATGACCTTCTCTTCAGTATGAGCCCTGGTTGCTTAATTTCTCTTGCAATTTTTCTGGATTCTCACATCTTTTAGTGGCTCAATAAAATATTTTCATGTGATTATGTATTTGTACGTTCAATATTATTACGAAACTTTTGAATGCTCTATTAACAACTACAAAATCCACCCAACTACATTAGTTGGCTTGTAGGAAATGTAAATATCTGCAGTAATGATGTTATAAGCTCGCTCTTTTTAAACTCATTGTCATTTTCTGCAATCCTGTGTATTTGGAAATTTTCCCTCAATTGTTAATTTTGTACAAAGAAAGGCTCACTTCTTGGGGTGTCTTTTTATTTTGATTCTGTATGGATGTTTCTCTGAAAACCCTTTACAGAATTACATGCAATCATCATCTTATTTCCGCTTTCATCCTGTCAGATCTACTCTCAATTGACTTGCACTCCATCTTTTTATACTCGTTTGACAGGCACACTAACTTCTTCATCTGCGAGAAGGGTTTCATGCACAGAAAACTGGCAAGAGGATGCCTACCAGATGGTAATCTCTCTCTCTCTCTCTCTCTCTTCCTGATTTTGTCAGTAAAACTAAAATTACTATGAGCCCATTGTTGTGTAGGGAAGTTAAGTAAAACTAAAATTACTATGAGCCCATTGTTGTGTAGGGAAGTTAATTAAAGAATAAAGCTGTGACTGAATAATTTTTTAAAATGTTACTTTGCAGCTTCAAAGTCTAAAAAGCAAGTATTTAACACCTCTGACTGATATGTATAATACAATAACGTGTAGGCTCCAGCAGGTAAGTTATCCTTCACTTCAAATTTTCTGCCTTAGGTATCCAACATCTGATCAATGGCTCTCTTACATTAAAATTTTAGGACGACAAGTTTCTATGATTATTTGTTGAAGTTCTCTTAATTTTCTCCAGCTCAACTCTATCTCTCAACAGACAGAAACAGGCAGCATTGAGAAACTTAATTCATTGAGGAATAGGGTGAATACAATCATTTCTAATCTAAGTTTTCCCAAAAGCAATATTCCACCTTCTTACAAGGAGAGTCTGGGTTTATTTGAGAAGTACATTATTTCTATTCTTAGTGTACGTGGAAGGGGAAATTCTGCTCCCTCACAGCAGCATGGACAACAATCTTCTGATGTGCACCCTATGCGTCAATTCGTACAACTTCGTTCTCAAACTTCTCCAGTTCAGACACAGCAAGACGAAAAGAAGCCAACATTTCAGCCTGTGAACTCACAGGATTCTGCAACAATGCAGCGGAGCAATGCAACGAACTTGGAAAACGATTCTAAGTCTGTATCTGAGCACCCAACCCTGCAGCCGACTGAGAAGTATTCAGGAAAGATAGGCTCATTTAACATAGTGCAGCAGGTTTCCTCAGGAACCTTAAATATTCCTAGAAGCAATCTCCAACAACCAAACATTAAGGCCTTGTTGTCACATAGCCCCGTGCATGGACCACAGTCAAACGTGAATGCTTTTGAGCCAAGCTGTAATACACTTCAAGAGATGTGCTTGAAACAACCTAAAGAAGAGCGAGATGTGCAGACTCAGACCCCAAAGCAAGAACTTCAAGATAGGCATGAGATGCTGCACCAATCAGTACAACAAAAACAAATTATGCAACAGCATAGTGGGATGGTAAGGTTGCAATCTGGAGCTTCATTTCCTACTGCTTTGCCCAAAACTTATGGTTCTTCCTGCTCACAAGTTCCTCGGTGTCCTACTATTGACAAGAAAAATCTTCCGATGCCTCTAACAGAAGCTAGAACGACTTTCTATCCCATAAACTCGTGCTCTACTAAAACTTCTTGTTCGGTTCCCTTGCCTTCATCATCTGTCCCGGGAGATTTAGAGAGACCTATTTCTGATACTTCATCCCTATCAAATGCTGGAGATGAACAAGTAAATATTGCAGCAAAATCCCCATCACCCATTGCCATCAGTACTCCTGGGATATCTGTTTCACCCTTACTTGAAGAGTCCAGTAACGTCATTCATTGTGATACATCTACAACAATGTCTGATGAGTTGAGAGCTTCTGAGCAGCCTATTCAGCGCTTAATTAAAGTGGTCAGTTTGAACTGTTGCAAGTTTCTCTTCGATTGTTATAGAAAGTGTTGGATTTACTGCATAACATCAAAATTAAGATATATAAGATGAAATGTAATTTTCTTTTTCCATTTCAGGTGAACTTGATGTCATCTAAAGCACTAAGTGCTTCTGTTTTGGACATTGGCTCTGTAGTTTGTACAACTGATAGGATATCAGGGTCAGCAACACTTACGGGATCTGGAGGTTCAATAGGTGAGGATTTAGCGGGCATGACCAATTATAGTTTGCAGAAGAGTTATTTAACATGGCAAGGTATGACCTTTGGAACAAAAAATATGAAACGCTGCAGAAGTACAGTGCCAATTGATGTCGTTGCGACAGCAACTGGAAGTATCTGTGATAGTTCAAAGTTAAGTGATACGGAGATATTTGACTTGGAGTCAACTGCAATATCTTATATCAAAAGGCCAAGGATTGAGGTATGATGCTGCTCTGAGAGGTTCTTTTTAATTGTTTAAAGCTTATAATTATGATTTATCTAAATAATAGTACCATGTCATGGAGATGCTGTTTACGACAGAAAATCAATTTAGCTGAAAAATTATCATCAGTGTGATCCTTCTGGTTGTTAAGGTTCAGTCATTTTTATATCCTTCACCATCTGATTCAAAAACATGGTCATCTTCCTGTCTCTTCTACTCGAGTACCCAAATACTATTGACTTCTATTTTCTTTCTTTCATTTTCAACAAATGTCTGACTTCTATGACAGGAAATCTGTTGTCATATCTCTCAATTCTTTTAGGGTTGTTTTATTATAGTAGCCCATAGCCTAACCTAGACAATGCCATGAAAAAGATTAAAGTTCATGTATTACGTGTTCTATAATAGTTCTTAAACTTTAAATCCTACCAATCGTTCTCTCATCCATATTTGTTTGAGATGTAGATTCTTTTTCTTTTTTTTTTGTGTCATCTTTTTAAATATATAGCAGTTCTCACTTCTCATCATTATTGGCATAATATATTATCTCCATATTTAAGCCAGGAAAGTTGAATTCCGTGATGGATTTTTCAGCATATTAATTGGTATAACTTTTTAGAAATTGATTCATAATTTTTAGACAGAGAAAGTGATTGTTTTTCACTATTCCAGTTATTTGATATTGTCTTTGAGTTGTTCTGTGGTATCCTATTCTGGTAATCTTTTGTACATCTCTTAAAGTAAGACTCCTGGTAGGGTTCTTCGGGTAAGTCTTAGCTTTGAATTTGTTTAGTCGGTACATAAATCAAAAGAGAAGCAGTATAGAAAAGAATATGAATCTTACCTCCCATCTCAGAATTTTGGGTTTGAGTATGCCTCCTTATGGTTATAATTATATATTACATGTTGCAGGTGAATCAAACCCTGTTAGAAGAAATTACAGCGATCAACTACCAACTAATAGATACTGTACTAGATATCAGTGATGAAGATACCCCTCCGACAGTAGTCTCAGCTCAATTTAGAGGTGGTCAAGGAACCATTGTCCGGTGCTCCTTCATTGCCGTGTCCCTCAGTCCCAATCTGAAGTCACAGCAGGTTTCACCTCAAACGATGTGTCTTACACGCTAGTCTAAATGTGATTCCTAAACTATACATGTGGACTATTCTATGCCAGTATGACTGCTTTTTCATGTCTATGCAGTTTCCCATCCAGCCTTTACGATTGCTTGTTCCTGCAAATTATCCATTGTGCTCTCCCATATTTCTAGACAAGCTGAGAGTGGAAGTCAGGTGAGACATTGCTCTCGCGTACATTTTGTGTACGCCTAGGCATTTCTTGAGTTGTATTCCGGATGTTGAAAATGTACTAGAAACTTTTGGTCTAATCGTTTTGTGTATCCCGGATGAATGAATTTAGCACGTATAGTTTCCGTTTATCCTTTTGGTCTAATCCATTGTTGGTCTGGCAGTGATGAGCTAGAAGATCCATCAGAAAAGGTAAAATCAAAGCTGAATATGTCTCTCCGGAGGCTGACAGAACCCTTGTCACTTGGGGAGATAGCAAGGACGTGGGATGTTTGTGCGCGAGCCGTTGTCTCCGAGTATGCGCAGCAGAATGGGGGAGGAAACTTGAGTTCCAAGTATGGAGAGTGGGAAGACTGTCTCAATGCTTCTTGATTAATCAATTTATATGTCCAAAACACAGTGCTTGTTCAGATTCTGGGCTAATTGTACAGATTCTGGATATTTTTAATTTTATTTATTTTTGTTCCGGATGTTGTAAATTAAGTGTTGCGAATTATGTCACCTTACAAAACTTTGACTATCCGATTGTGTTTACAAATTGTAGAAACTTGTTTTTGAATATTTTATATTGAAATTTACAAGTTTGTTTGGAAATTGTTTTAAAATAACTGATAACGTTTTTTGTGAAAATATTTTTAGAACTAATTCTTAGTAAAACACAAGTGAATCTTGAAAAAAAAAAATGCTTCAAATGCTTCACTAACGATACTTATTGTTGTTGTATGTAATTCTCTTAGAATTGTAAAAATATGAATTTACTTGCCATCAAAGGTAAATCTAGATCGAACGGATTATATGAGAAGAAAATTTTGAGAAAGGGACGGCGGTGATTCAAATTGTCTAAATCGAACGGATAAGCACGGGTGTCAGTCTCGTAATTACAGTTTCCAATGAGGGTTATAAGTGTAATGATAACATAAAGTTACCGTTGCAACTCACCCCTACCCATCTATAATCAAACGGCTACCCTCTCCGTTCTCAAATTTCAAAAATTTGTTGTTATCTCTTCTCTGTCGTGAATCGTGATATTTCTCAATAATCTGCGTTCGTCCTCGTTTATTTCGTATAACCCGTTTTCCCTCAAAGGTATTATTTCTCGTTTTTAATCTCTAATTTCTTGTTTTTAATTATATTTCAATCAATTTATAATTTGGGATTATTATCGATTTAGGGTTCATATGAAGGGTTGATTTGATTTAGGGTTTTTGTAATCATACTTAAACTTGTAAATTATTTGGCTTCGGCTTTGAAACCCACGATTAACATTTCTGTAGGGGTAAACAGTTGCAGAAAGAAAGGCCCTTTAATGCCTAATTAATTTCAGTTTAGTGTTTGTTAAATAAGAAATTGATATTATTAATTATGATTACAGTGTAATCTCTCTTTATCTATCAGTGTTTAATTTTTAAAGACGTCGAATTTCGGGGATGAACGTCTAATCTTGAGTATTTCCTGAGTGTAAGGATCAAGACTACCCAAAAAAGTATTATTTCTTGTGAGGTGTGAATTCCTAGTTCTTTGGTGTCTAATTTCTTTAGTGTTTTAAAAGAATCTTGTCGACTATTTGCGTGCGGATAATGTTTAATATCAACACGTGCAAAAGATGAGTGTAGCGGTGATGAGAATGCTTTGTCGGAGGTGAGGCCACATGAGATTACAACCAGTGATCCTATTAGCATCTTCAGGCTCAATTATATGTGCGAAGGAATATGCTGAATGAGTGTTTTTTACATTGTATCTTGTTTTCGGTAGTGTGTTTGGAACTATATCACAGGCTTAGTTTCCATCGTTTCCGTATGGATTGTTTCTACAGTTAGTAGAGGATCAAATTGAATTGGCTACAGAAGGGAACCAATGGCATCACAACTTGGTAGTTTCTTTCGAGATCAGGATCTCAGCGTTCAAGCTAACGGTACTTGAAAGTCTAGTTATGCTCTTATTTCAGTATCTAAAATTCCTGTATGGCTATAATTATACGGTTAACCCTTATATTATCTGCAACAGGAGCATCTCTTGTGGGGAAGGTTGGTGGCTTGAAATCACAAAGGAAAGCGGGGCTTGGTGGCAGGAAACCGCTTGGTGATCTATCGAATTCAGGGAAGCCTGCTGCTCTGATCCAGGCATTACAAAAGCAGCCTTCCAAGGAAATCATTTGTGATGATTCAAGCAATAAGAAAGGCTTGTCTAAAGTCTCGGATACAGTTCAGACTCGTAGCAGGACGGCGCTAATTGACATTTCAAACAGACAGAATGAACAGGGGCAGAAGAAGAAGCACAACACAAGGCAGGTGAGTGATGTGGCAGAGGGGCATCTTTGTCTTAATGATGTTTCAGGGGAAGGATTTCTGCACAATCATGAAGAGTGCATTAAAGAACAGACCAAGAGTATGGACATGGATCAGTTTCTGATGACACTTGGACTAGATAATGGTATGATTATATGTTTAGAATAGTTTGCGTTTCTTGAAATTCATGATTATCTGGGGACACTTTAATTTATTAGTTGATCTTTTTTTTTGTTCAGGTTCTTCCAAGAAGCTTTCATTTCAAAGTGCACCTCCTCTGCCAAGGAAACATGATGTAAGTTTCGGATTTCATTCTTCTTTTGCTCCAGGAGTATTTTGTATTTTGGATGTTGGGTAACCAATTGCTTTTGTTTTGTCTTTTTTTTTTTTCAGCCCAAGAGTCCCCCGAGGGAGTGGGATTTGGAAGAGATGCCTGAGCATGATTTCCCCTGGCTGTCTGACAAGCTTGACTCTCCACCTCGTTGCAAGTCTCCAAAGTCACTAAATTGCAATGCTGATTCCCTTTTGATTTGGGACGACTGTGACTTCAAGCTGATGGAAACACCATAGTTCCCAATTTTTATTCTCTGAAGTGTGTACATCATGGGACGGAGCATCACAGTACTTCCGGATGGTTTGCTTTTCGTCGATTGTGCAGAATTCGGTTTATGTTTTCTTTGTTTGCTGTGTTAACTGAGCATCATGTAGTTATGGTGATGAATGCTTGATTGTTTTGTTTTGACCGCACATTGTGTAGACATTGATGGATCTGAATATTCGTAGTTTCAATTCAAACCCTCTCTACTTCTTGTATGTCCTGACTTCATCACGCCTTGTTTCTTCAGTATTGATCTACATGGGCTCAACTATTATTATTTTCTTTTCATTACGAGATGTTGGATAATTAACAAAACAGTAAACTGTAGCATCATGCAAAATGCAGAACGGTTTTGTATCAGCAAAATGCTCAACTATTATTTTCTTTTCATTATTTTCTTGTATGTCCTGACAACATCTGCGAGTGGTGACAACATCTGCGAGTGGTAATCTTAGCTAGACTGAATCGATTAGACCCAGAACGGTTTTGTATCAGCAAAATGCAGAACAAGCCCTATATAAACAGGAAGCTAGCGCGGCCTTTTCTGTCTGCAAGTCAAGTTTCCGGCTAGGATTACGATTTTGATTGGTATAGGCAAGTGTTGAATCCCTTCGAACTACACAATCTCAATCTTTGACATGTTTGTAAATTGTCCTGGATTCGTGAAACATCTTGTGCTCTTTGTTATTTACTTTCTGCAAACTGCAAGGACCACTATAATGTTGAAGATGATCAGTAGAATCTGGAAAATCCTATAGTCTTGTTTGAACAGGGCCATCACTGCTTCCACAAGTTGATAGGGCTTTTCTTGTTTTAGCCTTGGAGTGTACATCAAAGAAAAACTCCGAGGTGGAAGATATGTCCCTATGGAACTGTCGAACCATGGAAAACACCGAGAAAGATGGTTTAACAGACATGATACAAGTTTGATGTCACAACTCCCCATAATAATGGTTTAACAGTTCTCATCTAGCCTTCTCGTTTCACAAACATTTCAAATATGCATCACAAGACACATTTCATGACTCTTACCTATAAGTTAGGCTGGAAAAAATTCCTGAAAATCCCGAACCAAACAAAAAAAAAATCCCGATCCCAAACCAAAATTCCCGAAATTTTCGAGTTGAAATCCCAAACCGATCCCGAAATTTCGGTACGGGATTTGGTATTGTGTACTCAATCTTTCGGTAATCCCATACCAAACCGAAAATAAATAATAAATATTATTATATATATATATATATATATATATATATTATACATTTGAATTGTTGATAACAAATAGTAGCAATATAATTGGTGTGGTCTAAGGTAGTAACCATAGCCCTTTATCGCCATATTTGCCGGTATGAACCTCCATCAAATGTGTTTATTTCATCAACATGAAATCAAAAAATTGTATTGTTAGTTTTCGAACATATTAGGTTTGTAACTTATTTTTTTACTTTTGGGTTTGTTACTTATTTTATTTTGGTTGCATGTTAATTCAACTTGGTATGAATGATTGCTATTTCAATTTGTATGAAATTTGGGAATACCAAACCATCCCGAAATACCGAAAATATTTCGGGAATCCCGAAATTTGGGAATACCTAAAGTTTGGTTTGCGATTGGTCTTCAAATTGCCGTTCTAAAAATTTTTGGTTTGGGATTCCATACCGAACCACCCCTATGTGATGACCTGTCCTAATTTTACATTTTTATAAATTTTAAAAGAGTGAATTGACGAAAATGCTCTAGAGGCGAGATTATTGACTTTCGTTGACCGCTAGTTCATGACGCGTATGAACTATTACTTTACTATATTCCAGAAGTACTCAAAGTACTCAAAGGTGCGAACACATAGACGCAAGAGGAATTGAAATCGGAGCTACGACGGAGGTTTTACGGAACTACAAATTCGAAGAGTACTTTTGTAAAGATTACTATTTATTATTTTATATATTTCTCATAATTATTATATTATTATTTTTAATATTAGAAGAGAAAGAAGAAAATAGAAGGTGGCGGGGAGTGACCAATAGGAAGAGGAGAGAGCCCCGTCGATTGGGGAAATGGGACGAATTAGAGAGGACGAAAGGATGCCCAATAGGGAGAAAGAGAAGAGAGAAAGACCACTAAGAAGAAAAAGAAAGGAGGGGAAGGGAGAGAAAAGTGAGGCACGGGATCATGGATCCTTGCCCAAACCGTGTGACCTGACCTGATCGGAAACAATGGAACCGTTGGTTCGTCCGATCAAATTGCAACGAATTAAGCCGAGCCAGCACCTGGAAATCATCCCACGACCTCCCCTTTTCCATTTTAATCCATTAATTGGTGGATTTTAAGCCTAGGTTTCGTGATTTCGCACCAATGGCTTCAAGGGCACCCACATTGCCGATCCGTCATTTCTGAAGCAAACTCCATCAACCACCACCACCAATAGACTTCCCTTAACCCCAGGAACAAAGCCCAAGTAGTGGTTGAGGCGTCATAGTACGTTTTGAGGTCAAATTGAAGCACACACATTTATAGGGTTCCGGCGGATTGAGGTGAATTTCAGACGTTTCCCGGCCAAATTGGACTTGGGCAAAGGTATAAAACTTGCTCTACTTGTTGAGATCTCCATTCCTATAAAATTTGAGAATTTTTGGAAATAGTTGAATTTTCCGACGAGAAGGGGTGGCCAATCGCCACGTGTGGCAGCGCGTGATCAGTGGGCCGACGTTGCCTTTTTGAGTTAAATTTGTTGTTATGATGTCAATTTGATAACCGTTTATTATAGTTTGATAGTTTGAACCTAGTATGGAATATTACATCACTTGACCATTTTATGATTCGACGATCCGATCATTAAATCATCACCAAACTTTAATACATTATAGTACGTAATATTTAATGATAATAGGAACTAACGGATCAGAAATCCGACATACGGATCTTCCCAAATTGGATTCCTAAGTTCGTAAGATAAAACGTTGACCACCACTTAATTTTAGCAATTAGTCGAAATCCGACTGTTAGATCATTCCAAAACTTTAGGATGTTGTTCTAAAAGCTTATTGAAACTCTTGGGAAGTTACAGATTGGGAATCCGAGGTGCGGATCTTCTGGATCAAGTTACGTAGGGTTGCGGACCCTACCATCGACCTTTGACCGATGGTTGACTTTTGGTCAATGGGTTTCAAATCATTCTAGAAAGTCATTGGGGATATGTTTTATGTAAGTTATGTGTTCTATCGATAAGAATTATGAAATGTGACTTGATAATTGTTCTAGGCGACAATCGTTTGTAACGCTTCGATATTCGTGCTAGGGAGTTGTAGCGCGGATTTCAGGTGAGATGGTATTTTCCTTTTTATAGTGTGTGTGTGTGTGTGTGTGTGTGTGTGTGTGTGTGTGTGTGATTGATAGTTTCCATAAATGCTTATTGATTTATGCATATCATGCCATGATTAAATATCGTTATTAGAAATGTTGTACTATGGTAAAATGCTCAATAATTCTACGGGATGCGCATGTAAGTTTACTGACAGGTAAGGTTATTATGTTGATTTGAATTATTGCATTATTATGGCATGCTTATATTCATATAGTTTGCTCATCATTGCTGCACCCCAGTGTTAGTGCTCGCCCTGGGCCAGAGCCAGTCTTTCACGTGATATTTACCTCCTGCACCACGCGTTCGCCTTAGATCCAAGTAGGTGACAGTCCTATCGTACAAGTTGCATTAGGCGACTCCGACTTGTAGGTGACCGCGATTATCGCCAGTCTTCACTTGATCGTAGCACTAGAGTGTATATTATGATTACACCTAGTCATGTCGTACAAGTCACATTAGGCGACTCCGACTCATGTGCTAACATAGATTGATGAGCAATATGTGCAGTCATACAGGTCGCATTAGGCGACTCCAACTGGTGAGCTAGCATAGATTATTGAGAACCTGATTTTACTTATTTTATTGTTGAGATTTTGTGATTTAGGGATGTCATGCCTTATTTACGTTTTACAGGCTTTGGTAAGTATTTTCATACTATACGTAGTATGTATATTTTGGAAACTATACATATTTTACGGCAAGGGGTTATAATGTTTTCAAAGGTTTTTATTAAAACGTTATTTGCAGGCCCACTCACCCTTGTTTTTCGCCCCTTTAGGGTTTAGTACCTGAGCTTTCATATCGATGAGGATTCTTGGTAATCTTGGGGTAGACAGTTACCTTCGATGGTATAATTTCTCACCTTATTTTACTGTGTTGTACTTATGTTCTGTCATCACGTGTGAATTGAGTTCATTCTCACTCACAACACACTCTTGTATTTAAGCACTTTTAGGTTTAAATTGATTCACATTTCCACATCGCTACACTTTATGCTTCGTCACCTTCTAGGTGTCGGCCAGCATAGCTCGATACAGAGTCCAGGTGGACATTCTGGGCGGGGTGTGTCACCTACCTATAAGCTCAATCAGCATATGAATCATAGTAAGGTGCCACTTGCACGCAAACCGAAATGCACATCCCCCAATATGTCATAGTGACCAATGTAGGTGTCACATCCCAGTCCGTATAGTAAGATATTGTCCATTTTAGGCCAGGCCCTCACGGATTTGTTCTTGGGCTTCCACCCAAAATGCGTCTTACTATAGAGAGCTAGGCATGTACATATAAGGCACATCACCTCATCTCCCCTGAGCGATGTGAGATCTTACAATCCACCCCTATTAGGAGCCCAACGCCCTCGTCGGCACACTTTCAGCGGCGGAGTGGCTCTAATACCAAATTGTCACATCCTAGTCCGCATAGTAAGATATTGTCTGCTTTAGGCCACGACCTCACGGATTTGTTCTTGGGCTTCCACCCAAAACGCGTCTTACTATAGAGAGGTGGGTATGTACATATAAGGCACATCACCTCCTCTCCCCCAGGCAATGTGGGATCTTACAGTAGGCCCACTAGACTATGTCAAAGTCTTTAGTAGTGTTAATTTCCATATTTACAAAAATTCGGAACATGTTGACCAAAAGTCAATTAGCGGTCAACGTGGTCAACGGTAGGGTCAACTACCATAATAATTCAATCCGGAAGATCCACATAGATTTTCCAATCCGTAAGTTCCTAAGATACTCATATAATATGCAAAACAAAATACAAAATTTCATTACGAACCAGGGATCAAATCTTCGCCTACCATAAAGGCCAATTGGTGGCCATTTACTAAATTAAATGCAGACAATAAAATCACATCAAACAAATATCAAATATGGATTCAGAGAATCACAATTAGCTTAGAAAGTCCACGTCGAGTCACTGGTCAAGCTCCACTAAAGGCGGTGGCTGTAGGCCTCTCTTGACAGAATTTTCAACAATCACCAAAATGGCTCAAAATTTACCAAGAGCTACATTACGACTAAAGGAGTAACTTTCATACCTTCATCGGAGTCCAGAATTGACCGGAGGATGGTGAAAACCACTGTCAAATTCATGGACCACCAAAAAAATGGTGGCTTCGCCGTGCCGCCGTCACTACACCAACGAGCGATCAAGACCTAGGGAGATCCTCTTGGGTTCCTCGGCTGTTGTCGATTGGTGGTAATGGATGACACCAATGTGGTTGGAAACAACAAGTTTGCTGTCGAGGAGCTCAGAAGCTAATGACGTTGACTCACTGGAAATGGCAATCAAATGGAGTGATTTTTGGATGGAAAAGAAAGCTTGGGTGATGCTAAGTTGATCAAGGGTGGTGGATAAGCTCATTGTCGTCGAAAATCGCTAGAAACGACGTTGGAAAACTCGTCTGGAAGCAGAGTTAAAGTCGTAGAGGAATTATATCAAATGGGTTGACCGTAGTTTTTATAACTGAAAGGGTTGACTCCAACTTTGTTGGAGATTTCCATGCATAGAAGTCTAATTTAGGAAAATGCTCATGCCTTTGCGTGTTTATTGCTCTTTCCTTATAATTTCGAGTTCGATTCTCAAACGGTTTTTCTCCAATTCTCAAACGGTTTTTCTCCATGTGTTTGTGGGATTGAGCTTTATCGAAATTACTAAGAGTGACCCCGAGAGGTCTACAGATTTTTAATGAATACTTATGAAAAATCTTATTCATTAAAAATCAAACTTTAACTGAGAAACCAAAAATTCAAAACCAACTAAATTAAAATAAAACTACGAGAATTGTATAATGAAATCCGGAGGCAAAATTTCACAATTGAAGCAGTCCATGATTAGTAATATAACTCAAAATCAACCGACCATATAGAAGTTTTTTGTACTTAATCCAATTATATTCTTTTATAACTTAAAATTTTAAGTTTAGATCTCGTAATCACCAATTCGATACCAATTACAAAGTCACAGCAGCATTCCTCTCGTGGTACATTTGTATACGTGGCACTTCATGATAAGTCCGTCCTGCAAATCCACAAACTATTGCGTACGGGAGCGGAAGACCAAATGCACTTTTCTTTAGCGTTTGGCTTTCGAGAAAGTGTCACCACTCGAGAAAAAATTTCCAACTTTTCTCGAGAAAAAAAAAAAAAGAAGAAAAATTACAAAAACGAAAAACCCTAATTTCCCAAATGAAGTGTGGCAGCGGTCCTCATTCCTCATCCTAACGCCGTCTCTGCATCTCCCGGCGATCAGATGCAGTGGGAATAGGCAATCTGACCGGCGAGAGAGCTCCACCACTTAAAAAGATCGCTACTTCCTCTCTCCATTGACCAGGGTATCTCTCTCTCTAGCTGTATAAATGTATGTTTGCATGTATGCATACACTATATCACTGTGCGAGTGTATAAATAGCATGTTATTCTAATTGCTTTGAGCTTGTTTAGGTAGTATGGAATTCTTTATATAAACATATGTAATGAAGTTTTGCCTTTGAAAATATTGAAATCACCCCCAATCCGTATGAATATGCGCTTTACTATTGTTTTCGAGGAATGGAAGCATGCAATCGTGATCAATTTTGAGTTGCAACCTGAAATTCCAGCTGCTTTACCGTCTCAGTATTTCGATAGACTGTAATGAAATTACACTCTTACTTGCTTTAACAATGTAGTTTCTGGAGTTTGAACAATTGTTATTTTACACTGGACGTAGACGAAACACTAGGGACTTCGTAAAGCAACAGTGTTTATTTCGTGAGAGGCTTGAAAAATCTGTACTTTACAATTCTTTTGTCTCCTGACATCCGTTTTTTCTGCGATCTTGAGAAGCATAGTACATATGGGATTGCTTTTTGACAAAATAGAAAGAACAGTAATCTCTATAAGGGTTGTTTATCCTCGTTCTTCATTTACTTTGTCTATGAATGTATATACTCGTTTTCGGTGCTACGAGATGTTAGTTGAAGTTTACTGTTGCGTATGAGTCCCTGTGACACTTCCACATTTGTTTATTGGCCCTATCCTTTTTGTCCTTTAATGTTGAGTGAAAGTATCATTACCTGTGAGATAAATCTAATACGAGTATGGGTAGGACCTGTAAGTAGTAGTTATCATCATCATATGCTGAGCGTAATTTTATTATTAGTCATATTATTTCATATGTCATTAATAAACACACTTTCAGCAGTGGGAGATCATTGGATTAGGGAGCATAGATTTTTAGTAGTTAGAGTTATCCATTCATGGAATTGGTAATCCGTACATGGATTTTAAGTAGTTAGAGTTATCAAAGTCTAGAGTCAATTTGCTGAACCTATAACCCTTTGAGTGACCATCATGACCTCTGGCAGATGCATGATTGAATTTTGTACATGTTTTGACCTTTTTCTTGTGCATTAAATACATATTAATAGTTGTTGTATCTTATACTACATTGGAAGTCCATTTTCATATATGCACATCACGATGGCCAGAGATTATAACAAGCTGGGTGAAAAACTGCAAGTAGTAGTTGACCTCGAAATCCATTTTTCTTTCTTTTCGAGTTCCTCAGGATTTTTCCATTATAATTACTCCCCACCTGCAAGTTTATGTGCACCATATTCTTTCATATAGCACCAAACTAGTTATTGGGTTATTTATTTATTTGTTATCATTTGATTTTCAGAGTTCGAGATGGATCACTACGACCTGCATAGACAGAGAAGGGATTTGAAGCAAAAAGGAAGAAACGCTGGAAGAAATGTTGTATGGTCGCATGCAATGGATAAGTGTTTAATTGATTCCCTTGCTATTCAAGCTAGGCATGGAAACAAAATTGACAAGAGCTTTAATGAACATGCTTACACTGCTGCTTGTATTGCAGTGAACTCTCGTTTCAACTTGAATTTAAACAATCAAAAGGTCATTAATCGTCTTAAGACCATAAAGAAGAGGTATAAGGCAATGAAGGATATCCTGAGTCAAGATGGTTTCAGGTGGAATCCCACTACAAAGATGATCGAGTGTGACAATCACGAACTTTGGAAGAGATACATTGCAGTGAGTCGATTTCTTCTTTATTCTTCCAAATTTCATGCTTCTATTTATAGTATGCATATTGGTGATATTGTTAATTCCATAAATAGGCACATCCTGATGCAAAGGGGTTTCGAGGCAAGCCAATAGAGATGTATGATGAACTCAAAATTGTTTGTGGAAACTATCAAGTCCCTAGTCGCTGGGCTAAGATGAAGGATGGAGGCCATCCAAGTGAGATGAAGAATTGTGAAGATGATTCTGCCTCATTTCTTTCTCCAAGCTCAGATGACCTAAGTGAGACAGATGGAACTGAGACATATAGTGAACCAGAAGAAGGGTATAACAAGGTGCCAGATGGTATTCAAGACCCCCCTCTGATCCAGCCACTTAGACAACTTCCGAAACGCCCTCGTGGCTCAGAAGCCCTTCAGGATGCAATGATGGCTGTGGCGTCAAGCATTCGTCTCTTGGCTGATGCTATGGAGCAAAGCAAATACTCAATTGACGCCTCTCAACTACTAGAGGCTGTGATGGAGATTGATGGTTTGGAAGAGGCTAAACAGATGTATGCATTTGAGTATTTGAATGCTGACCCTGTCAAAGCGCGAGCCTTCATGGCATACGATGCTCGGATGAGGAAAATATACTTGTTTAGACAGTTCTGGTGGTGGAAGTAACTCTCAATCCCAATTTTAGGGTCCTCTGGGTGTATAGTTCTCAAGCTTACAAGAAGACTTGTGTTTGTTGGATTACAAATACTAAATCGCCGTTGGTCTGTGTTTCCGGAGGTGTATGTACAGATATTAGATATCCGCAGGTTCAATATCGTATTTGGTTAGCAAGCCAGGATGTAGTCATTTTCACCTTGTTTGCTGCATCTTTTGAAAGTTAAAGATTGCAGTCACCGTTTATCCGGTGTTTCTTGTAAACCCGAAATCGCCGGTGTAGTTCTTTCACCTCTTTTTTCCTCATTCATCTCTGCCATGAATTTAATGTGTCCTTTGCCCCGATCAAATATGTTTATTTTAATTGCATTTTGTTGATGATTTTATTTGTTTGTTGATGCTAATTTTTCCATTCACGGTGCAAAGCATAATTAAGTTGCTGTGGGTGGTGAAGTGAGAGAGAGAGTTGTATCTGTTGTTTAATTTGGTCATTTCTGTGTTTATGTACGGAGCTTTGCTCACCCGTACATTTTTATTTTCACGAGTGAACCGTTGAGATTTAACTAAATCTCAATTAATTGAATCTCGAAGTTCAATTAGCAACTCGAACTAGTAAGTCATTATAGGCATTACCGCAAGGAGATGCTTTTACGAGAAAGAGGATTCATCTTATGAGGATATAAAAGTAAAAGAACCTTGATATTCCCAATTGGTTTTATAATGGAATCTCAATTTCTTCATATCTCTTCATCAACAGTTAAACGATAGCAACCCTATATTAGACTTTTTGCTACTTACAGCTCGTTTGGATGTATTTTTAAAATGCCTGAAAGCGTTTTTGGTGGAAGTATTTTTGGAACCAATTCTTAGTAAAAATGCAAGTAAATTTTGAAAAAACACTTAAAGTGCTTCCTGGAAGAAGCACATAACTGGTGCTTTTTGCAGAAAGCAGTTTAAGTGCTTTTGGAACCAAAAAAACATTCTCTAAAAGCATTTTCAATCAATTTGAAAGCACATCCAAACGAGGTCTTAATTTTTCACATACAAGCAATACTTGGGGAGGCGGGAATCGGACTAGAGACCTTGATTGCAGGCGTATGCTGTTGGGCAGATGTATCGACAAACTAATAGGTATACTGAAGAAACAAATGAATGAACAAATAATTCAGTGTATAAACAGTATAACCAATGTAGTTTTATTGTCAAAACCAAGACCTCTTCCTTTACATTTCTTTCATCCATATATTGAAACCTACTGCAGAAGCATGATCTGCAATATATATGGAAAAGAAAACACCAAATATTCTTCCTCAACGCTTCGAGTCTGGTCGTTTCTATAGCTTTATGCAAATCACGTTCGGAATTATTGAAATGGCAGACCGTCTTTATTCCTCTGAGACCTTGAAAAATGTATAGGACAAAATTATGTTATTGATACCGTCCATTCTTGGATCTGTTTCAAACTCGGGGTCGATATAAAAGAACACCTGCGAAAAAGTAACATGTCTTTCAGTACAGCAATTTTGCTTCTAAGCAATTAGTAATTTAAAGCACACTACTTACAGGCATGTCAATCTGCTCCCCCGGAAGAAGCCGCTGCTCCTCGAAGCAAAAGCACTGTATTTTATTGAAGTAAACTGCAGCCTGGGAAAAGAAACATTACGTTATCACTAACCAGAGCATAGTTAAGCAATACTTTACAGGAAAAATGAAATGAACAATTATCAGAACCCAAAAATTCTGATGTGTGCATGAAACTCCTAGAAACATGCTTCCAAGTTGTTAGATTAGAAAGGTTGTTTAAAAATGTAGCACCGAAACAATAGGCATGATTTTGGAACCGAGATAAAAGTGAACATATGTTTACATTAGACGACTCCTAAATCATATTGCACCAGCATCTTTGCCACAATCTTATACAAACTTATAACCAAGATGATGGGCTGCTAAGATGGGGTTTCTCGGGAATTAAACAAATATAGGTCATATTATGGCAAGCATTAACGACCCTGAAAAGAAATCCTGGAAAAGAGTCAAGAATCACCCTTGACCACATCCCAACATTCTTGGAAAACTGTCATAGGAAAACCATCTGGACCAGGAGATTTCTCACTAGCCCCTACCAGAATCAAGCGCAACCCAACTAATTTCTTCTTCATGATTTCATAAGCTGTATCTACGATGGAAACTGGCACAAACCAATGATCCCTTGCCTCGTCATAAGTGCTCTTGATTTCACGAGATGTTTCTCATGACTAGTCATTCTCCCCACACAAATATGCTTTCAATTCTGAGGCCATATCGATGCATTTAAGTCAAGGCATCTTTCAAATGTTTCGTTAGGCAGGCATTGATTTCATACAGTGATTCTATTTGTTCCTTCACTGTCCTCAGACCACTCTCTATGTCAAGAAATTACATCAATATAATAAACTGTATTTCAAAAGCCAAGAAAATGGAAACTTTCACGGCACTGTATAAACTGTATCTCAAGCTCATCCAACAGTGCATTTTGTGTTATCACCTGTCTCGGGTTACAAAGTGTTCCATGAGATCTAGATAATCAAGGTTTATTAAAACCCAATGAAATACATTGAGGCACAGTTCATACTATAGTCAAGAAATGGAATTTACAGACACGTGAATAAACACAACGAAAGATTATCGGGCAGTACCTTCATAGGGGTAACATTATAAGTTGAGACACCAACTATTGGAGTTGAACTTCGGTTTTCAGCAGTATAGAAAGCAAGTGCACTTTCTCCAGGCTTTACCCTTACCTTCCAGAAATAAAGCAAGAATGTTATGGTACAGCACCAAAATTGTAAAGAGAGCCTTTGCTTTGAAAAATATGTAGTTAAGAATAATAATGGATGTAGCAAACAAATAAATACATTGTGAAAGGAAAAACCTCTCTTTGTGTAGGAATAAACTTCCATTGCATTCCATCAGCCACATCAGCATTGAACTGCACCACTATCTCCCTGCAAGAGGATGTCATATGAGAATATAAACATTGTTAACTTCATTCAATATAAGTAAAAAATTACACATCTTGGAGAATAACATCATTCAGATTCCGCTGAATCTACTAATTAAACTCTGATTTACATCTCAAGAATACATCTCAAGAATAAGAGACAAAGGTTTCCATAATGTTTTCTGAAATCAAGTGAAACTCGTGTGTAATTGGGATAGGGGTAGGACCTAGAAAGCATTCATATATGAATACCATAGGCATGGAAAACATAAAAGTAAAATGAAAATTAAGGATTTAATGATTTCACAACCATAAGAAGAGACAAGCTCTGTTACTTTAGAAGCAGAATGCGGACCTATTTGTGACTGTGCCATCCTTAGCATGCCGAGCAATCTTCTGTTCAACACTCTAAATAAAGAAAAGGTGCAAATCATTGTTAAATCAAACAAATTCGGAATGAAAGAAACCAATATTACAGCCTGAAAATTCGAAAAGAATCAGACCTCACGGCGTTGGATAGTGCCTCCATACCCTGTAGCTTGGCAGAATCTTCTATAGAGAGGAACAGCTGCATAACTGGCTGCCACCATTGCAAAAACCAAACCCGTCAAGTAGTAAAGCATCTTGCGCGATTTTCGTTGCGTGGCAGCCAGAGAAGAATAGGGTCTCTGGATTCTTCTCAACAGAGATTGAGAAGCAAATGGTGAGAGCTGACAACCACACTTGTCAAACGAGCTTAACTCAAAGCGCCGCCACATATTCTTACTACCATGGCTGAAATGCCTCTGATATGCACTAATACTACTACCACCTCCATTAAAATTACAGCTGGGAATGCATCTGGATCATCATATCATTTCAACAACAAAAAATTAAAACTTCATACAAAGCACACATGGCATTCACAAAGTTATATTCTCTAACCGCAATTTTAAGCCGGGAAGTGATTTCCGCACACTTTTTTTTTCCGGCTTCTGCAAACCCCTGTTTAATCCTTGCCACTTGATTGAATAAGCCAATCGGGAATCACAAGACAGAAATAAACAGGGGCGTGCAGAAGGAGAAAAATGGAGTTCGGAAATCATGTCCTTTTAAGCAATGGAAATATTTACCTGGACTGGAGAGTGAAAAGGTGTGAGCTTGTGAGGTAAGTTGAGAGGGGAAGAGCTCTCTTACAAACCCCAGACCACGACATGGTTGAAGATAGCGGATTTCACTTGATCCTCAACACTCGGAGCATCTCTGCAACCAACACGGAGAGAGTAAGAAGATGCCTCTGCAAAACCCTAAATTTTGAAATTTGGGTTTTGCTTCAGCTCGCATCAAAAATGGGAACCGCAGATGAAAAGTTCATTAAAAAGGAATATTATTTACACGTGGCGACATATAAGTGGCTGTTTGAAAGAAAGATAATAGACTGCGTGACATCTGATCACTATTACAATTCACTTCCGAGTCGTTCCGACGCCGCACAACTCTTCCTTGTCCAACTTTCTCTCTGTTTCCCTGTGTCTATTGCTGCGCCGCCGCCGCCGCCACCGGCATCCCAGAGCACAGGTCGGCCCCTACTCCATCAACCTCCTCCTCCGTGCTATATTCGTAAGAATTCAACCCTAATTAACTTCTCTGTGTCTGTGTGTTAGAGACGAAGATGAGCAATCCAGCTCATGATTTTCATGAAGAAGAAGACGACCAGGGGGAGATATTTCTTGATGAAGATGACATAATCCGAGAATCCACTGTTGATGACGAAGGTCCTCACCCTCTACGTATATATCTATATCTATTTTTTTGTGTAAAGAGTAATATTTGAAATTTTTGTTAATTTCTTGTGGATTGCAGATCTTCCTGATGCAGATGATCAAAGTGTTGGTATGCTTACTTCACTAGAACCGATATCATCTCGGACGCTGATAATTCAATGTGTATGAAATGGGTTTTGTTCTGTTTTTCCTCTTGAGTTAATTACATTGATTTGGTATGGTATGTATGTTTTATGGTGGTTTCAGATGAGCCTGATGACGATGATTCCATGCACACGTTCACTGGCCATAACGGTAAGTGTTTCAGTTGCTGTGTTTCTTTGTGCATTTCACCTGCTACAGACATTATGTGTTATTAACAGTCAATTAAGTTGAAATAATCAATAGTAACTTGACTACCAAGTTATTACCTTGTACTTGCAAGAGTTATACATTTTGCCAATGATGAAGCGAGTGAAACTCAGCCGCGAAAGATGCAAATAGTTAGCATTAGGCAGAAATGTTTTATGTTTTTGCATCATTATTAACTTATGCTGGAGGAATTTCAGAATCTTATACTGAAGGGGTTTTCTTAAGGTTGTTATAGGCATCACTGAGATAAGATGCAAGGGTTAATGTTTACTTCACTCTCTAGCTGCATTGATTTTGAAACTGTAGATTATTCTGCCCCTCGACGGAGTTCTTGACAGTTGCTTTTTGTGTTAGGGTTAGGAAATGAAATCTATATGACCTGTTATTATTTATTTTATCTGCACATGGGTTGGTTAGGAAATAAAATCTGTATTAGCTTTGGCTTGAGCTTGATGCTTCGCCGCTTAGCTCGGGAAATTCTATTTCTTGGATTACTTGAAAGTTTAGGGTATCAACTACTTTCCTTTCCTTTCTGGGACAGGTGAGCTTTACACAGTTGTCTGCAGCCCAACAGATCCTACTTTGGTTGCAACCGGGGGTGGAGATGACAGAGGGTTTCTTTGGAGAATTGGAGTAGGAGATTATGCTTTTGAGCTTCAAGGTAGGTGTACGAGAGAATATCTGTATATTTTACATGCTCGTGTGCATTTGTCTGAACCCAATTTTATATTAGAAACCTAGCTTAAAAGTACCAAACTATGTACTCATTGGATTTTATGCCCACTTTGCTAGTTTAACTTCATCTACGCTACTCTGCAGGTCATAAGGATTCTGTTTCTAATTTATCATTTAGTACTGATGGGCTGTTGCTTGCATCCGGAAGCTTGGATGGAATTATTCAAATTTGGGATGTAGCGAACGGAGTTCTGAAAAAAACTCTCGAAGGTCCTGGAGGGGGCATTGAGGTAAAACTTTTAGGCTCTATTTCTTACTGTGATTGTACTTACTTTATTAGAAATTTAATATGGACTATGTGATTTCTCAGTGGGTCAGGTGGCATCCTAGGGGGCATCTGGTCCTGGCTGGTTCAGAGGACTGCACGGTCTGGATGTGGAATGCTGACAATGGTTCCTATCTTAATATGTTTTCAGGCCATGGTAGTAACGTGAGTTGTGGTGATTTTACCCCTGATGGTAACTATTCTTCATCTTTGTGCTTCAATCTGTCTGCTTCTCTCACTCCTTTCCTCTTTTTTTGTAAACTGTTATATCATGAATTTAATCTACTTAAACTGATTCAAAAAGCATTTTGATGTTTTTTTAACTGTCACCATTGATATATGTTTTCATGTCTTTTGCTGCTTGCTTAAGGTAAAACAATATGCACTGGTTCTGCTGATGCAACTTTGAGAATATGGAATCCAAAAAGTGGCGAAAACATTCATGTCATACAAGGTATCTGTTCAAGTTATCATATAACTTTCCTATGTTGTTCCTCTTACGAGTTAGTTGAGGTTTTGGAGCAAAAATCAGTATAGAAATAGGTAGTGTGAAACCTTGAATCCAAATGATCGTGAGTATTTATTTTTCCCCTCTATTTTTTGGAGCTACCGGTTGTTGTTGCAATGTTCCAAGTTCATTAAGAAGCTACCGGTTCGAAACCGTAATATGACAGAGCAGAGAACCCCCTAAACCAAACAATGATAAGAATGACGCTTTGATGTTTTGTTGCAATACATCCGAGAAGAATGACACTCTCATACAAGGTCTGAAATTTGGGCCAATATACACAATATATGGGCAGAAATTTGAGATTTTATGAGGTGTCAATACAGAAACTTGGGCTGAAGCTCTATCTTTTCATCCTTTCACCGAATTTGATTACCCATGATGAATTTCTTTTAAGGCTTATTATATTGAAACCCCACATATTGTTGAATACACCCCATATACTTAATATACCCCACATTTTCTTTTTTAATTAGAACTTATCTTAATACACCCCATTTACTTTCCTATAATACCCTCACACCCCACACTCTCACCATATACCTTACATTTTCTATGTACACCCCACACTCTTCAAATCTTAGGTGCAAATACATAAAGTCATCCAAAAGTACCTTCAGTGTAAAGTTGAAGCTCGTGTGATTTCGATTTTTTTTTAATTTTTCTATTGGAGTGGTGCCAACAATTGTTTGATTATTTGCATGTGTTTATCCCTTCATGTTTCTCTATCCCTTCCATGGAAAGAGGTGGAAGGCTGTGGGTATTCCGTACCAGTAGATGAGGAAGATGATTTTCGCAACAATGGATGAGGAAGATAAAAATGCAAAAAAATATGGCAGCTATAGAAGTGTAGAGCTTTATATAGAGTAGGAGCAATGACACTGGGTAATGGGGATTAAATAAATATTAGGGTTGATGATGATGATTCCTCTTCTTTTCCTTTAATTGAATCATGGGAATGGATTTAGTTATTGAATCATTGAATTAGAGGAAGAGATTAGGTTGTTACGCTGCTTTTAAAATAAAGGGATCTTTGTGATCTCATGTGGCTAAGGTTTATTAGGTGTGTGATTCTCATCATCAATCATATTTGTTTTTAATGGATATCATTCATAACACAGCTATATGCATGCCGATGTCGTTGAATCACTAAATCAATGAAAATACAAAGTCTTACCTTATGTAAAGTTTCCAAAACGTTGATTTCCTTGTGCACTGGGTACGACCTTTTTTAACGTGTTTGTAGTTTCATTAATTCTACAATGGAGGATGAGAGTCGTTTTGAGAGTTGAAGAAGATAAATAAACATGGGATATACATGTGAATAGTAATTTGGATTTTTATTTTTTTTAAACCTTATAAGGTTGAAATTGTCATTACATATTAGGTATGTAAGTCATTTAATATTAAATTTTAATGAGGGCTGTATTCAACATGTTGTGGAGTGCTAATAAAAAAAGTTCTATATTTCCAATTTCATTTAGTTTGTTCAGTTAACTTACCTAAAGTACATTTTCTATCATGGTGTGCATCTGTAATTCCTTATGTATCACGAGTTAATTCCTTGCATCTAATCCTGAGTTTTGAGCCTCAATGCATAAACTGTGCAGACCAAATCTGTCATGCTATACTAATGAGTTGTGCCATTTTATCTCGCTAAAAGTTGGTAACGTTAACAGGAAGTGAAAGACTGAACTGATGTTGTTTCTGATATCCAGCAATTTTGTCTATTTGAATTTGTTGCAGAAACGTTATTTGTTTGTCCTCATATTGGAAATTTTGACTTTTTTCTGTCTTTTAGGTCACCCATACCATACTGCTGGGTTAACATGTTTGGCAATAAACTCTGATTCAACTCTAGCTTATACTGGTTCTGAAGATGGCTCTATCCATATCGTCAACATAACTACTGGAAAGGTGTGATGTAGTTTTGTTACATTGCGATTGCTTATTGGTTAGTTTCTTGGTTTCGCTCTACGAGTTATCAGACTTTTAATAGAATTCCTTTTTCACAACAACAGGTTGTTAGTTCCCTAGCTTCACGTTCAGATTCTGTTGAATGCATCGGGCTTGCACCAAGGTACATTCAAGCCTTTCAGACATTCAAATTGAACTGTTTTAATTATGAATTTATGAAAGACTGCTGCAATTTTGGAGAAAATATTTATGAAACCGTGCTGCAAATATTTTTTATAGAGTTTTGTAAGGAAAAAAGAAAACAATGGTCTAGACTTCTAGTAGACCAGTCCAAACGCCACTACCACAAGACCAAGCAGACCAAAACAACAGCCTAAAACAAAACCACAACCAGGCTAGCAAATTACAATCTAAACAAAGCAACGGAATCAATATTCCAGTGAACTCATTAGAAACCAAAGCCCATAAGACTGATAGAAACTGAACTTTATCTCAAAGCTCCTCAATACTTGCATTGCTCCCCCATAATCCTCGAAGATCCTTTTATTTCTCTCCATTGAAACAACCCAATTCACAGCATGAAACATACAGCCAAACAATACTCTGGCTTTCTTCCCCTTCCACAAAGGAGAATGGGATTCACTGATGAGGGAAAAACAATTCTTTAGATACCCATCTCCCTAAACAACGTCAGCCATAAACTCAAAGTCACTGGACAACGAAGAAAGGTATGGTTGGTTGATTCAGAGGCAGATTAAATAAGGGGCACCATTGAGGCAGCAAGGTAAGATAGGGGCATATTGTCTGAACCCTGTCACATGTATTGACCTTGCTATGAGCTACCAACCAAGACAAAATTTGGACTTTTGATAGATTTCCATATCAGCCGAAAGGATGGGCAGATTGCTCCATTTCCATTTTGGGGATGTGATTGTAATAAGATCTGCACACAAAAAGGTTCCATTAGCGTCCAAAGACCATCTCCTTGAGTCCAGCCTAGAGTAGTGATGGTGACATTCCCACAGTGCTGCAATTTTGGATCGATAAAAAGCTATTACGTGTGTGTCTTCTCACCACCATTGTTTCCTGTTCTTGTCTTAAACATGAAAGCATGTACGAGGAAACTATATGTATTGTATATATCTTTGCATTTGCAATCAATGTGATTCTAAATCATGTAGTATACTTTTACTATACTCATAAATTTAATTGGGTATGGCAGCTCTCCATGGGCTGCAACTGGAAGTATGGATAAGAAGCTTGTTATCTGGGATTTGCCTTCTTCGTCGGCCCGTGCTACATGTGAACATGAGGTCTGTTGGAGTTTCTTCTTGTACAATATATATATCTACCTATCCAGTACCAATATTCCGAGTTGTTTCGCGTGTTTACTTCCAGCCAGTGTTGGTGTTAATTTCAAATTGCTGTCTAATGAAAAACATCACACTTGTGGGCAGGATGGAGTGACATGCTTGACATGGCTTGGTCAATCAAATTACCTAGCAACAGGTTGCGGGGATGGAAAGGTTCGAGTCTGGGATAGCCGCTCTGGGGATTGTGTTAGAACCTTCAATGGCCACACCGAAACCATCCAGTCTCTTTCCGTTTCTGCCAACCAAGAGTTTCTTGTTTCAGTATCTACTGACGGAACTGCCCGAGTTTTTGAGATTGCAGAATATAAGTGAGCAATATAGCCTACATAGCTTTGTAACGAGTATGGTCTTACAGTTATGCAGTACATCGTGTTCAAAGATTCTTAGTTGAGATGAATGCCAATACATAGTATTTTGTGATAACATTTTTAACATTACTGTTTTCCTTATCTCTTAATTTTGTTCCCTAAAAGTTCCCCGAGGCTGCAACAGGAGAATTCTTCGGTCCAGACAGGGATGGCAATTTAGCCCGTTAAAACAACAGGAAAGTGGCAAGTACACAACTGCCAAAATATAAAACGAACAAAGATATAATCACCAATAATCGCCACACGAACATGTTCCATTCTTGAAATGATGGAACCGGTGCATATCACGAACGATGATCTCCCGTCTAGTTACAAGGGAAATGTACTTGGTTGCGTTATGGCAATCTCCGCAAACTCGTAAATTCTTCCGAATGTGTATGGTGGCACCAGGAGTAGTGTTCAAGAGCCCAAACGCAATAGCCAGCTTCTCACTGTGGCTATTGAGCAACTGCTCCTTAACATCAGCTTCCACATCATGAATTGAATTGGTGTCCGGCACATAACCAGCCGCCTTGATCTCATCTCCCAGTGTGTCCAGAAAAGTATAGATTCTTTTGGATTGGGGATGGCTTGTGCTTCCGGAATAGAAAGTGTGAACCTCGTTCTTCAAATCCACTAAACTGCAGCCTGGGGTTTTCTGGAGCCCTTTCTTCTCCATCATCGTTCGCACTTTGGCCACTTTGTCCCACAATGAAGCTGTTTGATATATGTTAGCAAGCAAAACATGATACCCGCCATCCGCAGGATTTAACTCAAATATCTTATCTGCTGCCTTTTCCCCCAACTCTATATTTTTATGAATTCTGCAAGCCCCCAACATGGCTCCGAAGACGGTGATACCAGGCTCCATAGGCATATTTTGAATAAAATCCCAAGCCTCATTTAGCCGGCCAGCTCGACCAAGGAGATCAACCATGGCCCCGTAGTGATCCATTGCAGGCTCCAAGCCATAATCTTCTTTCAGGCTTGCAAAGTATTGTAGACCCTCTTCCACTAAACCCGAGTGACTGCAAGCAGAGATCACACATAGGAACGTTATATCATTTGGCTTTATTGCTCCTTTTTTCATTTCATTGAACAGATTCACAGCAGCTTTTCCGAGCCCATTTGTTCCATATCCATCAATCATAGCGTTCCATGTCGTCACATGCCGCTCATCCATCATGTCAAAAAGTTTTCTCGCAGTGTGCACAGCTCCACATTTTGCATACATGTCAACAAGGGCAGTCATCACAAAAACGTTTTTGTCAAAACATTTTCTTATTACAAGTCCATGAATCCACTTAGCCTGTCGTGTAACTGATAGCTCCGCGATAGCAGGGATGACACTCACCATTGTAAATGAATCTGGTTTTATATTTTGCGAATGCATCTCGCAAAAGTGACTTAAAGCCTCGCTGACGCGCCCATTCTGCGCATAACCTAATATCATGGCATTCCATGAGACTGGGGTCTTACCCTGCAACTTGTTAAATATTTTTGCAGCAATGTCAACTCGCTTACACTTCGAATACATGGATATCAAAGAGTTCATGACCGAAACATCAGATCCGAGTTTCATCTGATCCAATAATTTATGCACGAACATTCCTCGCTCAAGATCTCCCAAATCAGCACAAGCATGCAAAGCTTCCATTATAGTAACATTTGTTGGTTCAAAGCCTTGATCCAACATCTTCTGGAAAACCTCCATTGCCTCCTTGGGGTCCTCATTTTGTACGTACCCGTCTATCATGGAATTCCAAGAAACAACAGTCTTGTGCTTCATCCTATTGAAAATCAACCGAGCAGTCCCCACCGATCCACATTTTGAATACATGTCTACAAGAGCAGTAGAAAGGTTTACATGCGATTCGAAACCAGCTCTTACAACATACGCATGAATTGATTTTCCAATTATCAAAGACCCAAAATCAGCAACAGCAGGCAAAAGGGTGACCAACGTGATCGGATCAGGCTTCTGACCTTCCTCCTGCATCCGTATAACCAACTCCATAGCTATCTTTGCCAACCCATTTTGGGCATAACCAGCAACAATGGTATTCCAAGAAACCAAGTCTCTCTCAGGCATTCTATCAAACATCTTATATGCCTCATCAACCTGCCTACATTTCGCATACAGATTCACAACCGCGGTCATCGCAAACAAATTTGAGGCAAACCCACTACTAATTAGATCCCCATGAATCTCTTTTCCCCTCCTAAGATCAGCATTGTCACCACAAACTTTCAACAAATATGTAAAATTATACACAACAGGTTTAACACCATCATACTTCATTCGACAAAAGAACGAAAAGGCGTCACCTAAAGACGAGTTCTTGGCATACCCTTTGAGCAGAGTGTGGTAAAAGACCTCGAGTTTGTCCTCAACGGTGTCGAAAACCCGAGCGGCCTCATTGGGGCAGCCATAGTTGCAGAACAAGCTGACAAGCTTAGTCTGGAACAAGTGCTCGTTGTAGAGACCGTTCTTGATGATGAGGGGGATGATTTGATTGAGTTCTTGCACGGAAGTGCAGAGCTCGAGGAGGATGGCTGCAGGGTGCTTGTAGACATGAGAAGGAATGTGGGTTCGTTGGGAAAGGGTGTGAAAGGTTTGTGATTTTGGGGTTGCGATTGGAGGGCGGAGTCGAGACGGAGTTGGTGGCGGTGGTGGTGGAAGTGGCGGCGTTATGGTGTTGGTTATGGGGTGTAGAGGTATGAAAGATAAGAGCTGTGAGCTCATCGTTTTCTGCCTCTCTACGTTTCATGAGACTGTAACGAGTTTATATATTTTGGATAAGATTAATGGAAGGTGATATAACTCAACAGAGGAAAGCTTGACTCTAATGATTGTTCCTCTCCAAAATTCTTTGTGAAAAATTAACGAATTTTCTTGTTTATGATCGAAATCTTTCATATTATGAATGGATAAAATAATTAAATTAAACTAAGATTGTTTGTTTTTAAAGTATTATTAAAAGAGGGGGAGGGTTCTAAAGTATTACAATAGAAAAGAGGAAGTTTTGAGCATGAAACACATGGATGCAATCCAAATACCCTATAAACTAAGATATTGAACCATAAACTTAAGATAATGTCCTTAATAAAAACAAATGTAGCTAATAAATAGATGATTGATAATGTTTTATCGTATCCGATGATTTTTTTATACAATTCGATAACTAAGCATCTCTTATTTTATTTATTTTTTAAGAGATAATCTTTACAACGTGATTTATAATATAAAAAATCTTGATGGACACAAAATTTCATAAATCGATAAGAAAGCATACGGAAGAGTCGAGTTAATTTCTAATTCATATTACAAAGGAAGTTTATGTTCACACCCAAATAATCTCTCTTCGCACCCAGCAGATTAATGAAATTGTCTTCAAATTATACCCATTGCATGGGACGACAATGTGCACTAATCTCCTTAAACCTAATCTCTTTAAACCCTTAAACACAACTTCGTCATCTCTCCTTGCACACATATGGGAAGGTTCGGTAGTACGCATCCGAACAGAAGTTTTGAAACTGTTTTTGGAAGATGTTCGGTATCTCCCTAACCGAACCATAACAGCTATGGTTTTCTCGTTCATAATTCGAAATTTTTCAATCTTTTCATCCCAAAAAAAGCATGGATTTGAATACGTTGTTTACTGACGTTTGCACCCTGTTGGAAGCACTTCAACTGAAATGCAACGTCCATCAATCAGTAGTTTACCAGCATCGTTCGTTTTATTTCTTCAACATCCCTCTCTCACACATAGATCATGTTGAGGACTCAACTTCTCGTACAGGACTTGGATTCAAACTGAAGTAAAAAAAAAAATATTACACACTTGGACAATTCACAAAAGAAAACAGTACTTCAGAGATGCAAATGTTTCTCATCGCATTCTGGCGCCACCACCACAACAACAACAACAAAGCCTTTTTCCCACTAATAAGTGGGGTCGGCTACATGAATCCTAGAACGACATTGCGCTAGGTTCTGTGTCACGTCTTCCGTTAGATCCAAGTACTTTATGTCATCCTAACATTACATGAACGAAAACTAAAGTACGGCAGCAGCACGATGTTAGAAACAAGCCTAGCAAGAACAATCCCTAAGAAAAAGCACATGACAGAAGAGAGGACAGAAAGAATGATACTTAGTTTTGAGTCTTTTGACTATGCAGAGAAGAGATATACGTTGCTAACCAACTTACTTGATGACCGAATATTGCAAAGGATCTAAAAACATAATCCACAAAACCTAGTTAATCCTTACTTATGACCCAATTTGACAAACACCTAGAGTAAAAGCAAGTACTTCCACCCTTAATAACCATGACTTGCAAAGCGATTAAAGATACAATTTGAGCAACGATCAAACTTGATGCATATATCATCTCATAACTTTACAAGGCAATTTAATCCACAAAACCTAGTTAATCTTTACTTATGACCCAATTTAACAAACACCTAGAGTAGCAAGTACTTCCACCCTTAATAACCATGACTTGCAAAGCGATTCAAGATACAATTTGCGCAACGATCAAACTTGATGCATATATCATCTCATAACTTTCCAAGGCAATTCACAAATACGATTTAATTAGACCACGGATTCTCTCATCCCAGCTTCCTCTTGATTGGATGAACAATCCAATTGAAAAGTAAAAACAACTAGAGCGATTATTCACCGGAGAAAAAAACACTCTAGATAGCAATTAAGCATTATGTTAAAATCACCACATTAACTGTATAACTTGAGGATTACAAAACTCAAAATAGCACAAGCCAACAACTAGAAGCACGAATTAAAACCATATATCATCATGTAAAGATCAAAAGTAGATTGACTCGCGAAAATTGCTACCAGAAATCCAAACCGAACAAGTAAATATGATAACGAAGAGTAGTGCACCGCAGTAGTAGGATTAAATTTTGTTGAAGGCAACAATGTCGCAGCTCTGGATATACTCGTTGCGGGGCTCAACGGTAAGCTGCTCTTCGATGAGGTCATCGACGGAAACAAGGTCATCGACAATGGTGAGCATGATCTGCAACTTTTTGATGCCGTAACCAACGGAAACCAATTTCGATGCGCCCCAGAAGAGACCCTCCATCTCGACACTCCGAACAGCCTCCTCGAGCTTCTTCATGTCAGTCTCATCGTCCCAAGGCTTGACATCCAAAAGAACGGAGGATTTTCCACTCTCCTTCTTCTTGGTAGACGCCTTTTTGGCTGCCGCCAACTCCGCCTCGGCCTTCTTGTCCTCCTCAGTCTCGTCGCCAAAGAGGTCCAAATCGTCATCGTCATCGCCTCCAGCGGCGGCAGCGGGAGCGGGAGCAGCAGCCCCAGCCTTGCCGCTGCTGACTCTCACTCCGGCAGCCTTGCCGGGGAAGGTGGAAGCGAGTTGGGACGAAACGGCGTCGTACCACTTGCTCACATTGGCATAAGAACCGGCGGGCTTCTCCAACACGGCGGCGTACACCTTGATGTCATCCAAAGTCAGCTTGTCTCTGAGATTGGGATCAGCAGTGAATTCTTAACCAAAAATAAAGTAAAATCCATTGAAATATACAGAAAAATAAAGAAGAAGAAGAAGAAATTGTTACCCGGAGATGTAAGATTTGCCGGCAAGGAACTCGTCGAGGGCTTTGAGACCGGCATCGGTGTAGAGATCTGAGAAGGTGATGGCCATGGCGATTCGCAAGAGAGAGAGCTAAGAGAGGCGGCCAACGAGTGAGAGTGGTAGGGCGAGAGAGAGATTTGTTCGGAATCAGGACAGCTGCCTATTTATATTATATTTGGGCTGGGAAAAAACCCTAGCTGAGTAAGAGTATCTGTTGGATAATATTCCTTCTTCTTTTGGGTCTCTACTTCCAACCTCTGGCCCGCCCCTTTTTCCCGAGCATCTCTGATCGGATCTTACCTCTTTTTTTTTTTTTTTTTTTTTTTTTTAGGTTAGATTAGTCACAAACGAGATTCAAACACAAGTCTTTTTCATTGTGGTAAAGGGCTATTTGGTAGACTAGTTGTTAGATTAGCTAACGGCGGAATTTGAATCCAAACCGTCATCCAAGATCTCAATTTCTTTCTACCACTGTGGTAAAGAGTCATTTACGATCTAATCATACCATTTAGTTTTTAATTAAAAAGGGAAATGATGTATGTGGTTTAACAAATCTATTTAGAGACAATTTGAAGTTGATTATTAATCTATTTAGTGCTTTTTCACAAAGTTGAAAAAAAAAGCCACGAGAAATTAATTCTAGGCTTGGGTGATTGGGTGCTGTCGGCAAACTGCAGAATAGCTCTCCCGCTTGTATTCAGTCGGTTTGTTTCGTTCCTTGAGGTACAAGGAACGCCGGTGCTTGTTTCTGCAGTTTATAAACACACTTCAGTCTAATTAATTAGTAGATTGCTTTGGTGGTTATAATTTTTTTTAACCCACTATCTATCATATTTAAGTATGTTGTCAATGTATAATCACCATGTAGTTGATGTGATAAATATTTGATTTTAATCATTTCACCAATTATATTACAAAAGTCTCAATTTAGCTAACTTCTCTCAAAATTAATGAAATTAGGTAAAGTACAACCTATAGGATTTAAATATTAGGAAAACTAAAAAGTTCAAAAAAAATTTTAATTAATAAAAAATGACAAATAAAAATATAATAAATAATATCAAAAAAAATAAAAATATAACTTTTCGTTAAAAATAAACAGTATCAGAATATTTTTTTTAAATTCACTTAAATCTTTATACTGAAAAAAAAAAAAAAAGTCGTCAGCAGTATCTAGACAGTGCAGTGCTTCAGCCGCGCCGCCGTTTCCACCGTCCTCTGCTCTGCTCTGCTCTCTAACAGTAAGTCCTCTTTCTTCTTCCTCTCAAACTTTTAGGTCCTTGTACTTCTCGATTTCTCTTCTTCTTGCTATTTAATATCCCTTTTTGTAAATTGTAATTTAGGGTTTTAGGAATTATGGACTCAGTTACTCTCCTAAATTCTAATTTAGGGTTCAATTAACGTCTAATTGCTGAGATGTGGCTTTATGAATTATCGAGTGGGGAGTGCAATTATGGACGTTGTGTTGTATACTTGTATGTACTTAAGCCTTCCACATGAGAGGGTTCCGGAAAACCCAGAATTGTCTCAAACCCAATCTTGTGAACTTTTTATGTTGTTTGTGACTATTGAGGGATTTGATCAAAGAAGCTGTTAGAAACCCTATTTTAGAATTCTTAATTTGGTTATCTATGTGTAAAGTATCATGGGAATAATAATTGGTATGTAAATGTACTGAGCAGGAGATACTCAAGCCTCTTTGTATGTCGTCCGAATTCCTATTCTATCTTTTTAAGTGAGGTTTGACTGCTATACAATGCAGTTTAAGTTTCCTTGTATGATGTTGATATGGTTTTCTGTTCTTGAACTTCCCTCTCAGTTTCGGAATTAAGAGAGAGATGTTTCGGAGCCGAGTGGTAGGGTTGTTTTTGAAGAACAATGGCAAGGCTCTGTACAATCTCAGAGGAACGACACCGTCTAGGTTTCTGAATGAGGAGTCCTTTAGATTACTCTCAACGGGAGTCACAAGGAAATGCTTGGATGGCTTTCGGTCTTTGCCCAATGTTCCTTTCTCTCCTTGTTTCGTTTTCCTTAAATTCATTTTCTGAGAGTAAATGATTGAGAATTGGGAAGTTATTGCACGGTAAATTTTATGAATTTAACCGTGAGCTGTTGATGGATTGATTTAGAGATTAGTTTTGCGTGTTGGAGGATAGAGTCCCACATCAGAAATGCAACCAAAGAGGAATTATTGTGATTGGAATTATTAATCTTGAAATCGGCAAGTATTAAATACAAAATGGGTGTTGTGTGTCTTTGTTTTCTGGGTTAAGGGTGTTTCGTATGGATGGTCGATCCGTGCATGAAAATAATAGAATGTTTATATTGCTAAACAAGTGCTTTATAGTTGGAGTAGATGATTATAGCCTCAATAAGGTAAAAAAAGAAATTGGTACTACCTAATGAATCTGGAGTGCCTACATATATGTTCATTTGGTAGAAAATTCGTGCAAGAAAATTCGTAGGAATGTTTATGATGCCTGGGATTAATGACCCTTGATTGCTGTCTTTTAGGGTATTAGTGAATTCAAATAGGGGTGCTGTGTATACTATATTAAACAGAGCATTTGAGAAAAGAGAAAGAGGGAGAGAGGGAGGGGGGGGGGGGGGGGTGGGGAACCTAAAAATATAATAGGCATTGAGAGTGCCCCAAGTATATTCAAGTTAGAGTCAAGGAAGTTGGTCGTACAATATCATTGAAGTCCATTGCTTTTAATCTTTATTTTCTATGGTTTTGATTTCACGGTTTTGAAGTACTCTGTTTTGCACGATCAATGCATGCATTAATATACCAAAATGAAAAGGTTTTCTTATGCCAATTTCAGGGTAACTATGTACCATCTATAAGGAATATGTCCACTGTGGCTTCTGTAGGCATTCAAAATAAGGAGGGATGGAAGCTTCTTGTAAATGGAGGACCTCATGCTCAGAAAATGGTTGGCATTTGGCTTTTTGGCTCGCCTGCATGGGTTTTTAGTAAGGTGATACTTGGCGGTATTACACAACTTACACGATCTGGTCTTTCTATGACTGATTGGAAATTTACTGGGGGGGGCTACTGCCTCTCTCAGATGAGGACTGGCTGCTTGAATTTGAGAAGTACAAGCAGTCCCCTGAGTATAAGCGGGTAGTGCAAACTGAAAATAAAACTGCACATTTTTGAAGCACTACTTTTAGTTGCTGTTCAAACTTTTAAGCCTTTTATAGCTCGTAGCTCATAGTGATCTATCTCTAAGCGTCAAAGCACATTAAAAGCCTTCGAGAATTACCAAAGTTGGCTCAGATGCAATCATTTCCTTGCTGACGTGAAAACATAGTATATATGCTTTTAAGGACTATATTACTGATGATAATATTAATGTTCATGTGTTTCTCTAGATTTTTGTATTTTGCGTTTACCCAGATTTGAAGGATTGACTGACTACATAATTGATGCTGTTGCTTTGAAAGATAGTTGAAGTTTTTTCAGACCCTTATGATGTTACCTGGTTCTTGACTGCAGTGTAAATCGAGGTATGGGTACTGAAGATTTCAAATTTATATATTGGATGGAATATGCACATCGTATGTGGGGAAGGGCTCTGGGTATTATGTTTGCATTGCCATTCTCATATTTTCTTCGTAAGGGGTATATTACCTTACAGCTTGGAGTGAGACTTTCTGCTCTTTTTGCCCTTGGTGCTGGGCAGGGTTTAATTGGCTGGTGGATGGTTAAAAGTGGATTAGAGGTTAGGTATGTTTTTTATTTTATTTTAGTTGTGTGATGGTGGTTTGGATTGAATTGTAGTTAAATGATGGATCTTTGAATGAATTCTGTCTCTCACAGGAGCCACCAACTGAGTATGCTCAGCCAAGAGTAAGTCCTTACCGTCTTGCAGCTTATCTTACTTCAGCCTTTGCTATATACTGTGGCCTTTTATGGACTGTTCTTTCTGTCGTCATGCCTGAACCACCTGCTGAATCGCCAGCTTGGGTTCGTGGGGCAGCAAAGGTGAAGCGACTTGTCCTCCCTGTAAGCTTAATTGTTGGAGTAACAGCTGTGTCAGGAGCATTTGTTGCCGGGAATGATGCTGTATGTAATTTTGTTCGTATTCTTGCATTTCACAGTGAACTAAATGGATGATTGTGGCTTTTTCATAGTAGGAGATTACACACACTCACATACATACATATATAATATGTATATGATATATATATATATACACACACACACACATATATATTCTTTTATGTGCAGGGGCATGCCTATAATACCTTGCGTAGGCCATCAGCGTCCCTTCTTAAATCACTGCCTCAAGTTGCAAAGACAATCTAGACGACTTTGCAGTACAATTTTGTGACAGTTGGACATTTTTTCGGGACAAACAGTATCTCTTCGGTTCTTGTGTTGTACGTAAATCACCCCTTTACAGAGGGATTGTTTTGCAAATGTGCAGAAATGGTTCTTCTGTTTGTAGTTGGAAATAATACTCAGTATAAGTGAGTGATCCGTCGTCGTTTTGTAGCAGCATAGACGCCTTTGGGCAACACAACACAGTGGTATCTCCACAGGAACTGTAAGCTTGCTTTTCTTGGTTTACAGTATACCTTAATTACATGCAATTATGCAAATGCAATTTGGTCCAGAATGTACTTAGATGTAGTTTCAAGAAAAATTATTGGAATTAACTGATGATGTGGCGCGACTTTGGCCCGCTAAATTTATTCCATTTGGTTCGTCACACTATAAGTTAACAGAGAACATAAAAAGTAAACTAATGGATGTATGTAATTGGTAGAAAAATCAATGTTTGAGATTGAAAATGATACGAACAAAACTTCGGATATTAAAAACTGCAAATTGGAAAACTTCATGCCAATAGAAATGGTGAAATGGGTCGGTTTGAAAATAAATGAATTGCTAGTTATAGAATATTACCCTCGTTAACCCGCGCCACTTGTCACGTTTATATTGCATCAGATCCGTCAACTTCCACAACCACAAGCTACAATCAATTCAAGAAACCCCATTACAAAAATGCAAATTTGATGCAATAAAAACTACTATAAAATTACTATTCCAACACTTTAATCAAAATTGAATAAAAATAAAAGTCACTGACAATTCAGTAATTACATGAATACGAATTTTACTGTTTTTTACATGAATCTCACGTTCATGTAATAATAACAGCCCTATTAAAAAAAATCAAATTTAAATTTAAAAAATTGGCAACTACAGTTGTAGTGATTGGGGCTGGGGATTTGGTGGGTATATAATATATTTGGGGGCGATGAGAAGTGGGGATGAACGAATGGGGGAGGGTGGGTAGGGGAGGGTAGGAGAGGGGAGGGAAAGGTGGGGGGAGGTGGCTTGGGCTTCCATATTGTTTTTCTTTAAATTTTACGGTTAAAATGATTTTTAAATTTAGACATCCGTTGGAACCATGGCGCCACCGGTGGCGGTTCGGTGGTTCGAGGTTGTTTGGTACAGTGTGAAAGAACGTGGGAAGATGGATAAGAGAGAGAAGCATGGATCAGTTTGTGCTCTGCTCTCATTTTCTTTTCCCTTTTTTTCATTTTTTGTTTTTCTTGTTGTCATGCCTACTTATGAGTTAAAATTTTCTCCGACACAATCGATATTTCTTGAAAATCGACATATATTGTTTATAATTTTTATCAAAAACAACTGATATTGGTGTCACTATTCGACATAATCATTGATATTTTCATAAATTTTTTATCGATTTCCACCGATACTAATATTTTAAATCTTAATAATACATCGTATTTTTAAATTTTATTTTATATTTTTAAATAAATATTTAACAGTTAAAATACAACTATAAAGGATACTCCGAATTACGGTAAAAAATTACGCAAGCACACATAATCTTCATACCCAAAAACAAAACCAAAGAATAAAAAATACTCATAAGAGTCCAAATTTCCAATTTATCTCCCCAGCAGCGACAGTGCAGTGCTTCCGCCGCTCCACGGATCCAGGCGCCGCGTTTCCACCCTTCTCTCCTCTCCTCTCCTCTCCTGTGCTCTCTAACTGTAAGTTCTCGTCCTCCTCGACCTCCTTCTTCTACTTCTTCAGATTTCAATACTCCACCGAACCGCTGACCTCACCACCCCCTACTTCTCTTCATCTAATTTCAATTTTATTTTTCTGAATCTAAATTTCGGGATTTAGGAATTAGGGATTCAGTTAATTTTCTAAATTAATCGGATTAATGGATTCAATTGTTGTCTTATTTCTGTGCTGTGGCTTTGTGATTATCAAGTGGACCTTTTGTTTTCAATTGATCTTTGTATGATTTATTATTTTGAATGGACATTGTGTTGTTGTACTTGATTATATAGTTGAAGATGTAGAAATACACAGAGAGTTTTTGAATCTGGGTTGGGGCACTGTGAAATGCTTGGAAAATGTTGGATTTCTTCTGGATTTATGCGTTTCAGTTGACCTGGTTTCATTTTAACCTGCACAGCTCAGTTCAATCTAATGGATCCTTTTAGCCCCTTATCTCTTCTCCTTAATAAAACCCGCTCGTCGTAGAATTTTCGTTCTTTTTAGTGGCCAATGGGTTTGATCGCCCGTAGAAAATGTAGACCTAAATGGGAGAACGAAAGAACCCCGAAGATAATTCTTTGGATTTTCAATTTAGAGCTTTTCAGGAGTTTTCAGACCAAACTAGGATTTGTCTTCAACTTCAGCTTCGGGAAAGTTTCACTTTGGAATATGATCTGCCCTTCCAAACTCTTTTTTGTCAACGTCCTTCCGATCTTCTTCAGGTTCTTAAGATTCTGCGTTTCTATTTTTTATTTTTTTTGTTTTTGTTTTTAGGGGTTTGAGGATTTTGATTTTGGAACCTAAAGTTGGTTTTCTCGACATTTTTCTTGCTTTTTTCATTGACTAAGCACATTAAGTTTGTGTAGATATCTGACTCTGTATTGTTTCACTCTTAACAATTTTATTAGATATGTTTTAGAATCTGCAACTAAATTGTATTGGGTCCCGAATTGCTTCAACTGCCAGGCAGTTTAGGCCTTCAGTTTCCACCCTTGATTACCCTATCTATTATTTAAGGAAATTCATGTTTTTATAGTAAAACTTGCTAAGTAGATAAGAAAACAAAGAGTCTTAACCAATAAAGGAAAAAACAAAGAGTCCAATCAGTTATTAAACATAGCATTACAATATATTAGAGTTGGGAATTAACATATGGCGGCAATACAGAAGTAAACCAAAGCACTAAAGTATATGTATTGCCCATTTTGCTGGGGTTTGTGTCCTTGGCTGTAAACGAATACATTTCTCAGTGCAATGGCTGTTGATTCATTGATGTTTCTTTTTATACAAAAATTGGTCACCGAACAATAAAAGAATCCCTTGGGTTTGAATCCATGCATATATTATGGAACTAGCAGAAGTGGCTGTTTCTATAATATTTGGGAAATGCCATAAAAAATGAAGAGGGCTCTGTTGAAATTTTGACTAACAAGTAGTTGATCGCCTAGCTTCACTTTCTTGGAACTTGGAAGCCCTTGTACAGTAAAGGTTTTTATGTTTTTTATGTATGCTATGTTGTTTGTTGCTGAACTGTTGCTTTCGTCTTATAAACCACTTTTTCCTCCTGCAGATTACATCAACATATCTAAGCATTGATTTGTGATACTAGTGAAGTTGCTGCTTTCCTCTTCTGAACCACTTTTATAGAAATGTGAGCTGTTAAAAGTCAGCTCACTTAAAGATAGGAGACATAATAGCTACAGTTGATAACATTGACAAGGTTGACTCTTCTAAAGAAAATATGAAAAGCTTCTGAAGGCAATTTTGGCAATGTTAAGTACTTGTTAATGTCAGAAAAGGTGAGGTATGGGGACGATGAAATTTCCAAAGCGTTATTTAGTCGTCATATTGACCTTCATCTGCACATCTGTTTGCTATATAGAACGTGTCGGGTTTTCAATTGCATACACTTTTGCTGCTGATGCTGTTGGGGTGAATCAAGCAAGTAAAGGCACAATTCTTTCTACATTCTATTATGGATATGCTTGTTCACAGGTGCCTGGAGGCTGGGCAGCCCAGAAAATTGGAGGAAGGAAGGTCCTTCTCCTTTCCTTTGTATTATGGTCAGCAACTTGTGCATTGGTTCCTTTGGACCCCAATCGAGTCTTTGTCATGGTGGTTGCTCGGTTGCTTGTTGGTGTTGCACAAGGGTTTATATTCCCCTCAATTCACACAGTTTTAGCACAGTGGGTTCCACCGCATGAAAGATCCAGATCGGTTTCTCTTACGACTTCTGGTATGTATCTAGGTGCAGCTGCAGGAATGCTTTTTCTTCCAAGCCTTGTAAAGTATAGAGGTCCGCAGGCTGTCTTTCTTGTCGAGGCAGCACTAGGTGCCATGTGGTCTTTGCTTTGGTTCAAGTATGCCAGTGACCCACCTCGCTCAGAACATCCAAAAGCCACAGCTGCTGGTTTTGGGGAATCAGTGTTGCCAATCAACGGAAGTGAAAAGCTGAAACTAGAGAATGGAGGAAGTTCCATCAGAAGTGCGAAAATCCCATGGAAGAAAATTTTACTCAGTTTGCCAGTTTGGGCAATCGTGGTTAATAATTTCACATTCCACTACGCTTTATATGTGTTAATGAACTGGCTGCCGACATACTTTGAATTGGGGCTCCAGCTTAGCCTTCAGGAAATGGGTTCTTCTAAGATGTTGCCGTATCTCAACATGTTTATTTTCTCAAATATAGGTGGGGTGGTTGCTGATCACTTGGTCACAAAGAGAATCTTGTCTGTGACCAGAACGCGGAAGCTCTTGAACACCATAGGGTTCATAGTTGCTTCTCTTGCACTGATAGCAATTCCCATTTTCAGAACATCTGGTGGAGCTGTCCTCTGCTCTTCTGTGGCTCTGGGTTTCTTGGCGCTTGGGAGAGCTGGTTTCGCGGTGAATCACATGGATATTGCCCCGAGATATGCAGGCATTGTGATGGGAGTTTCTAACACTGCTGGTACGTTAGCTGGCATTATTGGAGTTGATCTGACCGGCAAACTTCTTGAAGCCGCTAGAAGTGTTGATTCGAGTCTTTCAAGTCCAGAGAGCTGGAGATTGGTGTTCTTCATCCCGGGTTTGCTCTGCATTTTTAGTTCGTTAGTATTTTTGCTGTTCTCAACTGGGGAGAGAATTTTTGACTGACGAGGTAGGGTTTTTTCCATGCATACCTCCTGCTCGTAGCTCATCGATAGATGTGCACGCGGATTCTTGATATATAATTGTTCGTAGTTCGGTGATCATTCCTGACAAGGTACTGTAGCATATGATTGTTGCCTTGGGACAGCGTATGAACTTAAGATAAAAGATTGGTAGCAAAGCGATAGCTGGTCATATTGGAGATAGATTACTATGAGTTCAACTGTTAAGCTCACTGATTGCTTCCACCATATGAAGGAAGGTTAGGTGAAATTAATAACCCATATACAAGATGAAGTGGTCAGTCTACTCTGGGGTCGAGTACATGTCTTCAAATTTTTACATTCTCTGTTTTTTCAATGTATTTGTTCAATTTGATTTCATCTCCATACCACCACCATGTATTTGTTCAAATTTTATAAATTTGGAGTGCAGGATGACTTTTTGAAGTGCCGGGTGGTGTTTTAATTCCAAAATCAATTAGCAATCGGGTGAGAGGCTCATCATCATAAGTTCGAGTATTTTACATTCTCCAACAAAAGTGAGATGTTCTTTTGCATCTTCTACATAGACCCCCACCGTTAGGTACGTGAAATAGTCTTTAGTTGCATCTTAATAAAATCTATGCAGCATTCAATGCTACATGTGTTTTAACCGTTAGATTTTATTTTCATAACTATTAGATCTTTCGTTATTAATCTCACATTCATTTTTGGTATTGGCACTCCAAATATGTCATCATGCACATTTTTTATAAATTTGGAGTGCATGATGACTTTTTGAAGTGCCTGGTGGCGTTTTAATTCCAAAATCAATTAGCAATAAGGTGAGAGGCTCATCGTCATAAGTTCGAGTATTTTACATTCTCCAACTAAAGTGAGATGTTCTTTTGCATCTTCTACATAGACCCCCACCGTTCGGTACGTGAAATAGTCTTTAGTTGCATCTTAATATAATCCACGCAACATTCAATGCTACATGTGTTTTAACCATTAGATTTGATTTTCATAACCATTAGATCTTTCATTATTAATCTCACATTCATTTTTGGTATTACTTAGTGCTACGTACCGTTGAAGATCATTGGTATCAGAAATTGCCAAGGAAGCTACTATATATATTTATTGGTTTGAATAAATTTTGAGGATGATCGTATTTGCGGAATCAAAATTCAATGTACAACCACACCACAATACAAACAATATTTGACCCGAATCATAAACTGAAAATAGTGCTTTCATTAGCACTTTGGAAAGTTTAAGAAGCATGAAATTTTTGTTAAAAAAATCCAATGATGCTTTCTAAAGAAGCATCTAACAACCTTTCCTACCCAACGCAGTCAAAAAGTGTTTAGTTGTTAGAAAACACTTTTAGCTCTTCTTATATCACTCCCCACCAAGTCCAAAGCTCTAATAAAAGCAGTTTTAGAAAATGCTTATGAACAAAAAAATGACTCCTACAAAAGCAATCTCAAACGAACACATAAAGACCAAACCCAGGGTACTTCGCAATAGTTTGAAGGTTGAACTGGGAGCATATATCAAGAGATGAAGATACATGAAAATTTCATAAGCTGTTAAGAAATAACTATGACAAAGCTCATCCCAATATATCAGGACCACTCTTCTCAATTCTTTCTGCTCGGAGGCAGCTGTGCCGGTTTCTCAAGACCGCCGCCCCTTCAGATTTGTAGAGAGCGAAATCCGAACTGGGAAACAGCTTTCCCATGTAGGAATGCATACAGAAACCTGGGCAGCCAACTCGTATAGTTGTATGTATACATATTTTCTCGCACATGTATACCCCTTCCTATGTATTTACGAAAAAGAAAAGGAATTTAATGTCTTCTGGGCTAAAAAAGTTTAATTCACCTCAGGACCGAGCTCCATGTTCTCTCGATTGCATTCAGGAGCTTGGGAAACCTGCCCCTTTTTGCCATTGCTATCAGGAGTCTGGGAAACCTGCGCATTTTTATTATTGCTTTCCGAAGAAGTTTGGGAAAGCTGCAAGTATTTGGAATGCCTTCGCTCCCTCTTGGCCTGTTTTTCCCTGCAAGCCAAGCAAACAGTTGATGCATCAACAACCAGTTCATAAAAAATGGGATTGGCAGGGAGGGGAACTGTCGATATCAGAACATTGTTATTAACAATGTAAAACAAGTATGTCTGCTTACTTTAGAGCCGGGGAAGAGCGGTATTTGTCTATTGGCTCTTTAGCACTGCAGACGGACCGTTGTTCACCAGATGGAGTTCCATCCCAGGTTCCCAAATCTGTAAAATACTTGGAAAAAAATTATTACATCGAAATAACTCAAAAACTGGAAATCAACTCATTGTGTTTAGAACAGTTGAAACTAACCTTGAAGCAATATATCTTCACCAAAATCGCCTTTCAGTTTCCAAAAGCAATGTCCATCAGCATCGACAAGATAAGGCTGTATTCTAACAGCCTCACATATTCCATCGCCTATAAAATAAGTCAAAACAATTTTGGCACAAGCATGTTTAACCAGATTTTCATGAAGAACCAAAACATGGAAAGCATTTCAACCAAATGGAAAAACATCTCAAGTGTTAAGTATTAACAATAGTTTTAACATCAATTACAGAAAGCGAATAGGGTAATTGAAAGGATAAAGATGTTAGAAATGGGAACTTACTTTCCGGTATCATGGCCATAGCATCGACCACCTCCGTGTGAGCTCGAGCAGCCTTACGTCAGAGTAATGAAACAATGGAGTCCAACTCTGAAATTGGGACAGCACTGCCATTATCTGCAGTGGTTCTCTTAGCCATCTCCTCCAGCGACTTTGCTTGGAGATCTCTCTCCTGCACATATATGATCGATTTAGTTAAAAACAGAACTCCATGTTGGCTCCGAAAGATGCTTGCCTCAAAGATTTCCTTCTTGTCATATGACCTTATTCTTTGCTAGAGCAAACCCTTTACATTGGACAACTCTTTTATTTTGCTCCTCAATCCATCCCCTCAGCGTCCTGGACAAGGGACTGAAAAGAACTCATCACTCGTAACGGAGTAAGCAGACAACTACAAAGTTATAATCTGCATACTATGTATCTTCTACTTACTTTGCATTAAGAGCCCCATCACAGAGGAAATTCAAAAGCCTAAGATTTTGGGAGAAGCTTAAGGCATCATATCCATCCCTGCCTTCACTAAAACACTCAGAAGGCAACTCCTTCATAACGGGGTCAACCCTTGAGACCCTGGATGCGGAGATCAGGTTCTCCAAATCTTGGAACCATGAGCAGTTGGTGCTTGTTTGCTATAGAGATCTAAGAGAAAATAAAGTTGGCGTAAACCATATGAATTATTTTAGCACAGTAAAGCGATGCACAAAATCAATTAAAACAAGATTAGAGAAACATTTAATCAAATATATAATAGAACAAAAGTAAGAATTACCTCGCTAAATGTTTCACAGAACTTCAAAAACTGGAGAGCATTTTCTATATCCTCAGCAGCTAATGGTACCCTGAGGTAGGGGAAGCTCAATATCTATCTCTCTGCTCTCAACGCGGCATTCCTTGACCCTGCGACACCCTCTTGCAGCCTTGCCCTTGACCTTGACATCATTCTCATTCACAGCAGCACCACCATCTCTGATGCATTCCAAGTTCCCATCAACTCGTCCTGCTTTGCTACATCCGAGTACTTCACATCTTCGCTCTGATCAAGGGCGTTCTCCTTCTCTCGTTTGCTACGTGAACCAACACACATTGCCTGCAAAAACTCAAGACCATAAGCCCTCTTAAACAGAACTAAAACCAACCAACAACAATATCAATATGAATTCACAAAGAAAAAACTAAAATCAACAGCACCACCATCTCTGCTGCCAAAATCAACCTCTTGAGTCTCAATCCTCGACTTTAAGATGCTTTCTGACTTCCTTGGCATTGTCATTCTTATTTCTCTTAGCAGCAGTACCATCTCTGCTGCCATTATAAATTTCCATCAACTCCTCCTGCTTCGTTTTCTTAGTTTCCTGCTCATCAGATTTTGGAGATGCATCCAAGTTCATATCATTGCTTCCATCAAGAGATTTCTTCTTCCCTTGTTTTCTTGGTGAACCAACACTGGTTCACACTGGTTTCCAATTAAAAAATGGAATTCAATTTTTGTTATCTCAGTGTTCAACATAAGAAATATCGTTCCTGTGAAATGTGTAGTGCAGCAACCACCCACCTCTTGTAACATAATGTACTAACTTCCATCAAGCGCAAGCATGAGGGCAGCACTCCAAAGAAACTTGCTCTCATTTTAGTTTTGTGGTCATCGTCACCCGTTCTCACTTCAACAGCTGTGTATGTACCAAAACAGATCTGCAACCACACAAAGATGGCAGCAACATGAAGGGAAGATGAAAAGGCATTTTTGCTTGTTTTGAAAATAAAGCAGCATATGAGAAAAACATCATTCCAGGGGTTACCTATCCAATTGAAGGAGAATCATATTCATGTCACACTGCAGGAGAACCATTCATAGACAACTAATTGATGGATGCAATGGACTTAGGTAATTCAATCTTTACAGCACAATTTGCTATCTGCATCAGCAAAGCCGACAAACATGTTAGTGACATAATTTTGCCCTGAAAGCATAGTTGAATTTCACTGTTAACATTTGACTAATACATAAGCTTAAATGATGCCTTCACATTTTCCCCTACTTCATCATTGCAATCAAACTCTGAAAGCGGGAACAAAATTTACACATGATTTGACAAGGAAAGATAGCAATGTGAAAGTTTTAGTCAATCCAGTTTATTCCTTGAAAGTTCAAGTTTGACAATCGGGATCTTTTCGTTATCTTGAGCTGGATAGGCATTCCACCACAATCAAATCACATAAGTACGAGAAAGAAATAAAAACATCATCCAGGGTTACCTCATCGCCCATGTGGGAGAATCATATTCATGACAGATAAGCCAGAGCACGATTCGACGACTAGTAATTAATGTAAGCTAACACAAGTTGCCCTCGGATGATATTATCTTGAAATTTCACGATACATGGTTTACAGGGGAGAACAAACACGGAAGGGAGATGGAAGAGTAGCGTAGTTGAATTAAACAATTAATAACTGATTGATTGATTGATTAAAACAGTATAAATGACAGCAAATAATTGAAGAGAAACTTTTTACAGAGTCTGAATCTTGGCTATGGAATGAAAATGGTGCTATGTGCGTACCTCACTTTGACTTGAGATCTCAAATGATGACTTGGTCGTCTATCTTGATGCAAGGAATGTGAGCTATCTTCATCCACTCTTCTCCCGTCTTCTCCTGACACCTCCTCTCCAGAGAAGAACACCTTTCGATACTCAGGAAAGAGAGCGATGCCGGAAGACCCTCTTTTGGCAGGAATTCGAGACTATCACAGCTGCTAATTCCGAGCTTTTGAAGACAAGTGAGGTGTTGAAGTCCCTTTCCCTCCAAAGATTTCAGACTTCTCATTCCGTGGATATAGAGAGCGTGAAGAGTGGTAGGGAGCAGCTGTTCCTTGAGCAACGTCTCCAACACATTCTCGCTTCCACAGATCCGAATTGTTCGAAGGGAGACAATTCGTTGCAAACCCCAGTACTCCACTGAAGGCTTCAGTTTCTCACACTGTGCGATATGAAATGTTTGTAGGTTGGGAGGCAAACCCCCTTCTGCAAATGACTCAACATTTTCAAGATCTATATTCAAAAATTGAAGGGCTGTGAGGGTGTGTATTCGGTCGGGCAATAACTTCAAATTCTCGCATCCCCAGACTCTAAATTCAGCCAGGTTGGGAGTGTGCAATCCCCCGTGGGGAAAAGAGACCAGATTTCGACAGTAGTCGATACAGAGCTCCTTGAGATGAGTGAGATTTTCAACTTCAGCTCCTCCTCCAATCGAAAGGGATTCTAGATTTTTATTGGCCATTATATTAAGAACTGAAAGTTTGGGGAAAACGCCCAGCGGGAAGGACCTCAGTGAATCACAGCTGTCCGTCAATCTCAAATCTTGAAGGGATGTCAATTTGGCCATCATCTCATGAGATAGGAATTCTAATCTCCTGCAATGGTATATTGTAAGAGATGTCAACGAAGTGGGTAGACCATTTTTAGGGAACGACAAGAGTGATGCGCAGTTAACGAGACTCAAGCTTTGAAGACAATTGCTGAAGTGCGGCCGCAAGCATTCTTTGGGACTAAAAAATTGAATGGCAAGTTTGGTAAGCGAAGAAAGCGACTCCGTCTCCGGTAACGACGAGAGACCAGGGCATCGAACTATCCGCAGTTCTTCAAGAGACTGTCGCAAGGACTCCATGTTAACGATGAGAGACCACGGTATTCTGGTAGCCCCTTCATGTAGAACCCCACAGTCAGACACGGAAAGTTTTCTCAAGCAAGGAAGATGATCGGGCAAGTTCCCCCTCAGCTTCGGACAATTCTCTAAACTCAGCTCCTCAAGACGAGGAAAGTCTAGAGATTCACCTCTGCCTGAACAAGGTAGCCATTCCTCCCACTCCGGCATCTCTGTGAACTCTAGCTTCTTGAGAGATTGAAATGGCTGACTTAAAGAAGCTCCAATACCCCTGTAGAACTCAACACCAATACTCATGACAGATTTCATCCTTTCTATATAGAGCTTTTTGAGAGCGGGTAACCGTCCAACTGGTGGCAACCACAAACAAGTAATACAATCAGTGAGACGCATGACTTGTATGTTGGAGAAGGAAGAGTCTCCCAACCAATCCGGAAAGATGGTTCCACCATAATATCCGATGGTCAGCTTCGCCAGGTTTACTGAAGGTTGTAGACTTTCAAGTACACGTCTCTCTTTGATGGAATCATATGCATCCTCACGACCCCATGCCAACTCTACTTCGTTCAGATCTTTCTTATCCTTCAAATTGGCCCCCAAGGCATCTATAGGATTGACAACATTTTGCAGATTCAAGATAGAGAATTTTCCTCGAAGGTGCGACAATTGCCCCAATTCTCCAATGCCACTTGACCCAGTAGATTTCCCCAACACAAAAACAGTCAATGTTCTCAAACTTTTTAAACTACCCATTTGTACCGGCATCTTTCTTAGGGCTGGTTTGGTATTGCTGTGCTTTGAAAAAAAGCTGCTGTGAGAATAAGCGGCTGTGCTGTGAGAATAAGCGGCTGTGAAATAAAGCCGGTAGAGTGTTTGGTAAATTTTTTTGTGAAAGTGCTTTTGGAAAAAAAAACAGGATGATAGTGTGTCTTTTCATTAAAGGAGCACTGTAGCTCCGTGTGCTTTGAAAAAACTGGCTTTTTTTCAAAGCAGCAAATAGCAGCTTCAGCTTTTCCTTTGATTTTCAGCTTATTCTCACAGCAGCTTCCAAAATAAGCCTTTTTTTTTCAGTTTACCAAACACAAAAATGACCCACAGCTTTTTTTCACAGTGGCTTTTTTTAAAATCACCTCAATCCCAAACGGGGCCTTATACCAGTTCCACTAATATCAAGATGACGCAAATTAATCAATTTCCTCATGTCTGCAGGCAATTCAACAAGAGACGAGCAACCTAACAATAATAGAGTTTGCAGATTGTAGAGATCACACATCGTATTTGGCAACGTTTTAACAGCAGTGTAAGAGAAATCAATGTAGCGCAAGTGCAAGTGTTTACCAATGCTATCAGGTATTTGAGTGATATTTTTATATCCTGACAGTGACAACACCCTTAAACATTTTAGTACTGGTAACAAGTCCTCTAGAACCTTAATGCTTACATAGTTCTCATCCCACTCGTCTAATGGTCTTAAAGACATGGGAAATAAAGTGCGCAAACATTTAATTTCGTCCAATGGCTTAAACTTTGCAGCAGTATCAAATCTTCCTCTCATATATGACAAATGTCGAACTCGTTTAGGATCATGTGGCTTTCCCTCATCCAACCTAAAACAAAATTCTCCAGACACGGACATTGCCAAGTCGTTAATGAGATCATGCATTGTGAAACTTGATTTCCCAGTTAATGATCTTTGAAGTAGTGATCGTGACAATAGTTCATCAAAGTTTCTCTTGCCGAACTCTTCCAATCCTTTACCATTCTCAACTTGTGGAATTAAACCCAGTGCCATCCAAAGTTGAATTATATTTTCCCTTTCAAATTCACAGTCCTTTGGGAAAATTGAGAAATAAGCAAAGCATTGTTTCAAATAAATAGGGAGATAATGGTAACTCAATCTTAATGATGGAAGAACACCTTTATTGTGCAATATCTCCCAAAGATTGCTGTTCAATATGTGACTCCATTCCTCGTAATCCACATTACAACCTAAGAGACCCCCAAGCGCTTTTGCAGCTAAAGGAAGACCATTGCACTTGCGTGCAATTTGCTTACCAATTTCTTCCAAGTCTGGATGCACACTAGGATTTTCATTTCTAAATGCATGTTTTGCGAGTAACAACCAACAATCTTCATTGGACAGATGTTTCAAGAAGTGAATAGGCACGGTGTGCACTTGGGATGCAACACTTTCGTTTCTCGTTGTTACAATGACCTTACTTCCCCTCGCCCCATAAGTAAAAGGAGCCCGTACAAGATCCCAATCACTGTAGTTGTCATTCCAAAGGTCGTCCAACACAAATAGGAACTTTTTCCCCCTCACTTGTTCACTTAGTTCAACTTGAAGCAAGCTATCTTGAAGACTGCAAGGTTTTGAGCTAATTGATTCAATAAGGGTTTTAGTTACCCTCATAGCATCAAAATCTTCGGAAACACATGCCCAAGCAGTAACATCAAAATGCTCTTTTATTATTTCATCGTTGTAAAGGACCTGAGCAAGGGTTGTCTTACCAACCCCGCCCATTCCCACTATGGGGATTACTGATACGTGGCTGCTACTTGCATAATCAGATAGCAACATTGTTTTCAACTTGTCTTTATCTCCGTCCCTACCATAAGGACAAAATTCATGCTCAACGAAGAAAGTTGTGGGAGTTCTTTGAGGATATTTCCCCTTAACACCTCCTATAAGACCAAGGAGCTTAATTTTTTTTGCGAGGTGTTCTAACCTTTGGAATAACTCTTGTATCCTACCATTCATGCCTTGATAAAAAGGATTAAGAGAGGTAGATAGGAAGTTCCACACCTGGGTTTTCTTAGTTTGATATTCAGATTCCACCTTGGAGCGCAAAGCTTCAGCATCGATCTCATCAAGTAGATCCTCCGCATCAAAGACAGCATGTTTCAGCTCGTCGAGCCAGCTTCCCACAGCAGGGTTGACAATCTGCTTCTCCTCTGCATCATTGACCACTGCATGAAGGGTCAACAACGTCAGCTTCAGCTTCTCCATGAGCGAACGATCAAGCTTTTTCCCCCGAAACAGATCCAAGAACTCGCCGGAACCAATCTTATCGCACATCACCTGGATGGAAGCAGAGAGAAAAGCCTCTCCAATCAAAGCTCCTGCCATTTTCTTCTTTCTTTCTGGAAACTAGTAATCTGAGAGAAGAGTTTTGTGATGGAAACTGAAGCTTAAACTCTTATGAACTTCACTTTTGTGAGCGGGACGACTAGATATTGTCTTGGTCAATAATTCAGTGGACCACACACGTCAATAATTGTTTTGTGAGTGGAAAAGTAGAGGGTAAAAAATTGTGTCGGTGGGACCGTGGGATGAGGAAACGTTTTCTACTAAGCGATCCTAAGGCCATCTCCAACCCAAGGGTCCAAAGGGCCAGAGGGCCGAAAATAACCCTAAAATCGTCTCCAACCGAGGGCTAGGCCAGAGGGCTCTGGAATCTGGGAGGACCCCACGGGATCGGAGAGGGCTGGCTTTTTTTTTTTTAATGTTTTGTTATTCCTGTCGGAATACATGCTATTATTTAATATAATAAATAATGATGTATTCCTGTCGGTTATAACCGACATGATTGTTTTAAAAAAAAATTCAAATGAAACGGCTACTAGCCGTTGCATTTGATTTGTTTTTTTTTTTTACATTATTATTATTCTTTTTTATTTACAACATTTTTCATATAACTTCTATTTTTTCCTATAACTTTTATTTCACAAAATTTGGTTTTTTTTAAATTCCATTTTTTTTCCTATAACTTCTATTTCACAACTTCTATTTCACAAAATTTGTTTCATATTTTTTTTTCCTATAACTTCTATTTCACAAAATTTACTTCATATTGTTTTTTAAATTCCATTTTTTTTCCTATAACTTCTATTTCACAAAATTTGTTTCATATTTTTTTTAAATTCCATTTTTTTTCCTATAACTTCTATTTGACAAAATTTGTTTCATATTTTTTTTAAATTCTATTTTTTTTCCTATAACTTCCTAAGCCATTATACAACATTAAATTAAATTAAGTAACATGAAACAACATTAAACAATATGAAACAACATTAAATAAAATTAACCAACATAAAAATTATACAACATGAAACTTAAACAACATTTTAGTTGTAGTTTTTAAATAATAAATTATGTTTGGCCCTATGGCCCTTTGGCCCTCGGTTGGAGACGGTTTTTTGTGATAGGGCTAAAACGAGCCATCTGGCCCTCTGACCCTCGATTGGAGACGGAGGCAAATATGGCATTGTACTGTTCATTAAAATATTAATATCTTGGAGAATCTTGGAGGGCCAGAGGGCTAAAACGAGCCCTCTGGCCAGCCTTCGGTTGGAGATGGCCTAAGTTTCTCTCCTTACCAACTAGTTAGGATCTAACATAAAATCTATTATTACAAAACCACAAATAAAGTAACATTTGTTACTCAATCAAAATAGAAATAGCATGTTATATACATGAATTTACATCTACAAAAGAGTACATGTTAAAGTATTACGAGCAGATAATAGATGCCTTACAAACATTTTGTCAGTTTGTCCTATTTTAGTTCCAATATTAAGAAAATGGGTTATTTTTTTTCTATTTTTCTTTATTCTATTGTACTGATGTCACCAATAACGTACATGAAGCACTATCATGGCTTAGAGTTGTTACCAAGAATATTTCTAACATATGAGAGACTGCTCCAACCATCCTCCATCAAAATTAGATTAAGGCGTATCATCAATTTTTCCACAACATCTTCCAACAACAAAAATAACTCTCCACTCAATATACAACCTCTACTTGACCTCTTTAACGAAAATATCCTCAAGTTAATATCTTATCGACACAATATTGATTGTCGCACATCACCTGGATGGAAGCAGAGAGAAAAGCCTCCCCAATCAAAGCTCCTGCCATTTTTTTCTTTCTTTCCGGAAACTAGTAATCTGAGAGAGGAGTTTTGTGATGGAAACTGAAGCTTAAACTCTTAACTTCACTTTTGTGAGCTGGACGACTAGATATTGTCTTGGTCAATAATTCAGTGGACCACACACACTCAATCATTAAAATTGATGGTCGTGCTTTGTTTTGTGAGTGGAAAAGTAGAGGCTAAATTTTTGTGTCGGTGGGATGAGGAAACATTTTTATTTTCTACTTTGGATAAAAGTGAATCGTACCGCCGGTGCAATAGACAATTGTCCTGTTTTCAAACAATATAGTATACGTCTAATTGATATTTGTCACGTGGTGTCACTGATTTATAAGTTATAAGAGAATTTTTCTCATTCAAGAATGGATGCATGATACCGTTTAACTAAAAACTGAAATTCAAATAATTACCAAGCGACCCTAAGTTTCTCTCCTAACCGACTAGTTAGGATCTAACATAAAATCTATTATTACAAAACCACAAATAAAGTAACATTTGTTACTCAATCAAAATAGAAATAGCATGTTATATACATGAATTTACATCTACAAAAGAGTACATGTTAAAGTATGACAAGCAGATACTAGATGCCTTACGAACTCTATTGTCATACATTTTGTCAGTTTGTCCTATTTTAGTCTTAAGATTAGAAAAATGAGTTATTTTTTGTCTATTTCTCTTTATTCTATTCTACTACTGTCACCAATAACATACATGAAGCACTATCATGGCTTAGAGTTGTTACCAAGAATATTTCTAACATATGACAAACTGCTCCAACCATCCTCCATCAAAATTCGGTTAAGGCATATCATCAATTTTCCCACATCTTCCAACAACAAAAATTACTCTCCACTCAATATGCAACCTCTACTTGGCGTCTTTGACGACAATATTCTCAAGTTAATATCTTATCGACACAATATTGATTAAAGTATTGACACAATATTACAGGCATTTTCATTAAAGATGACTAATAGAAATTGCATTTTGAGAGCAGAGATCGTTGGTGTATTTGTCAAAAGTCTAGTAAGCCCAATTTTCCTTTAATGAATTGGGGATGGCAATAGAATCACCTTTTTTCAGCAATAGAGATGTGGTAGATGTGGGTTAGGCCAATTGGCTAAGTAATGTGTCTGCCTTTTTACAATCCAGTTCGCATCCCTCTCATCATAGACTACAGTAGTTTAAAATATCACATGTCGAAAATGGGAATGGAGAGTGTTGAACTTTGTATCTTTCAATATATTAGAAAGATAAATGTCACTAAATTAATGACTACTTGGTAAACAAATGCGTATCTTTAATCGCACCATACTTTATACAAAGTATACAAACACCTGTTGTCCTTCACAAACTATATCTTCTGCACACTTACGACCTAAAATGTTGGCGCTTTTAAGGATAGGCCTGTACGCCACCAACATATGTTGCTTCAACTGATGCAGATTCTTCAGCTACGGCATCATCCCACGAATCCGTGGACAGTATGACAAAGTCTGCCAGTTTTCCGAGCGATAGAGATCCCAAATCACTGTCAAGAAAGCATGCGCGAGCTGCTGAAAGAGTGTACCTGTCATGATTGTTAATGTATCAGGTGGAACTATAATACAGCGGCAAGTATGAGAGATGGTACAAAACAACGTTGATCAGTTGGATGACACATTCTTAGTGACTCTGGTCTGGGACACCGATCAAGAAGAAACACGAATAACCTAAACAGCAGTCTTAAGGAAATTTGTGTCAACAAATAATGAAATCTAAAGGATCAAATGATTCAGTGTCGCATACCCCTTCAATGCCTCATTCAGAGAAAGTCTTTCAGTGGGAATCCATGCAGTATCCCAACCAGGGGGAATCCTTTTCATTGCTGTCTTAATACCACCTAAAGGATTAATATCCGAGACCTGCAAGAACAGCAACAATCTAAAACTACACAAAGTTTCATACACTAAACATAAAGTGCATCAGAGAGCCTCGCGTATAATTACGTACGCGTGAAAAATATATCTGCAAGAGTCATTACACTTACCGGAAAATCAGAACCAAGTGCCAACTGTCCATTGCCAGCCAAGAGTGACTTGAATAAGTAGGATCCCTTGTGAGCCCTGTCTATCCCAAGTTTTTTTGTCGCAGATTCAGCGTCATCTAATAGGTGCTCTGGCTATGGAGAATTGGTGTTTGAGTTTTAGAATGAAATTTATTCACAGCAACAACGGAGTAACGATAATCACTCAAAGGTTTGAAAACTATTAAGACCAAAGGGGCGAAAAATAGCAATTAAATGAAAGAGGAAAATGGAACTCATCTACTAAAGACATTTTTCAAAAAACTATTTTATTAAGTAGATTACTTTTTAAACCAGAAAGTGATGCAAATGTCAATGTGAAAGTACAGTAACATGTGATCCCACAGCATACAAAAGATAATAGTGTGATCAAACCTGTACTGAAGCAACAATCCCGAGTTCACCAAATCGGGCTGGTGTCCCAGGTGCTAGATGTTGGGCATGCTCAATCTGAAAGCAATTTTTTCTCCAGTCATGCAAGACATAATAAAATTTTGAAAGGGAAAAAGTTTGCGAAGCATATGCTACATTTGAACAATCAACGTTCAGAGAAAATATTTTTACCCTGAATCTTCGATCCCTTACTCCATTTGTTGAAAACACTGACTCGTACATGTTAAGGATCAAATCATTTGCTTTATCACCTATGGCATGAATGGCAACCTGAACACAACGTAAAACAAATTTTAGAAGTGCGATTTCATTTACATCTTGTAGAGAGTTGAGACATTTCGAAGGAGATGAGACCACACCTGAAGCCCAACTTTATCCGAAGTCAAGGTCAGGTTGAAGAGACTTTCATTATCCGTCACTTGCAAGCCATAATTATGAGGCTCATCAGCATATGGCTACAGAATTTAAAAGAAAACTATCAAGAAGATAATCTATTAAATGTGGAAATAAAAAAAGTTACTTGATATGATGATGCAAGAGTATGAGGTGAATTAGATAAGCTCACTACAACGAATTCCTATCTTCCTAACAACATTTCCCCTGCCTTAACAGCAATAGCATAGAAAGAAGAATAAATATATGACAAAGAAAATATATAAAAAATAAATGGAAGTGGCCAAAGTCAACGGATTTCAAATTTATATGCTAAATTTACTAAAAGAAGTGCAAATGCAAAAGTACCGAGGTCTTCACCTCATAAAACAGTGCACTATTTGAACCCAGTGAGCCATCAGCAAAAGCTTTAACACCGCCCAAGTAAATCCATTGGCTCAGAGTACGTCCAACTTTGTTAACAAGGTGCTGAAAAGGAAAAAAAAAACTCTAAGAAAGACAATAAACGACACAAAAATTAAAACATTCAGTGAAGTTAATAACTAGGTTGGTTGGATATAAAAAACAAATATTCTAGAAAGTAAGTTGTCCAATGCAAAATTCCCCATATTGACATCTCCTAGTGGTCAAACAAATGTCAAGAGACTTCATTTCAAGAAAAAGAATAAAAAGAGTAGACATTATTAACTCATATGCATTTCGAATAAGAAACAATATGCAGAAACATAAACCTAACCAACAGTGTAATTGCAAAAAATGTTCAAAATAATTACCCTCTATAAATTTGAAAAGGAGCTTCGTTCTATAAGGAAAAGGCAGAATATTCATATGACAACATAAAGGAAAAACAGATGAACAATCATTCTTTAACCCCTGTCAGGCTGAGAATAAATTATTACGTAAGATTAGACCCCAAAGAAGTAACCGATAAGAAGTCATACATGTAACCGTGACCAAGTCTCCAAGGGAAAAAATAAGCAGACCCTGATCACCATCTTCCCTGAACAATCAGCCCATTGATAAACATCTGCAAAAAGTAACGAAATGAGAAAACAAGTAAACAAGCATCTGAAGCAGCATGACTAATTAAAATCTTAATATATATGGCCAAAAAAAAAAAAGCATGTTGATGTTCCATGGATGTAATAGAGTTGTAAACAGTCGTCTGACTGAACACTAATCATTTTTACAATATTACTTTAAGAACTGCATTAAACTTTTGTTGTCAGTATGTTAATGTTGATAGTGATTCCTTTACATGACCAAAAAGTCATGTGAACCGACTTACTAGAATAATGATGTTTCGACTCAAAGGACATCCAAATAAACCCTTAAGAAACTTAACAGAAACCTGAAAAATCTTCCCAGGATTGCTTTGCTGATGCCCCAGGAAAATATCTACCAAAATCAACAACTGTTGTTACACCCCTCATCAAGGCATGATTGCTGGCTCTAAGCATAGCTTCCCTCCGCTCCTCTACTGATACCTCTGGAATGGATGGAAGGAGAAGCTTCATTGCTGAATCAATCAGCAGTCCAGTAGGTTCTGCAGAACAATGAGCTGGAACATAAGTAACTTATCACTCTAGATGTTACTTATCTAAAGATCTAAGGATACTGAAAATAGATGAAAATGATTTGATTGTGTTAAAAAATTTGAACTTTTGTCGAATAAGTCAAGGATACTATTGGTACAGCAGCATCACAAGTGTCATGTCAACAAATACCCAACGCCCTAAATATTGAAAAAATTGTATGCCGTTTCCCTTGCCTATTGGTATATCCAAGGAATTGCAAAGATTCAGGATGGCCCAACTGAAAGCATCTAAGACATAAAAAAAAGGAAGTTAAATAATACCTCCGCTGGTTGTTTTCATAATAGTTCCACCAATTGGAGCTTCTGATGAATTTGTAATGCCAGCCAACTTAAGTGCCACTGAATTAGCCAAGCCCATATGGCCATCCATCCTTGATAGCCAAACCTGTCAACGAGGTATACAAATGACATTAAAACACATACTATGATAACTATCAAAGCACCAAACTTTCATTTATAAGACTTACAGGATTGTAAGGTGTAATATCGTCAATCCAAGAAGCCGCTGGCAATTCCCCTCCCCAAAAATCATTGTTCCATCCACCACCCAAAATCCAAGAACCTTGTTTTGCGTCTGATTTTTTCATTTTGTAGTCTATCAAAGATGAGGTTTCGCAAGATTCTATGCAATTTGAAAAACATAATAATATATTTTAAAAAGACAAAAAACAACACAGCATAAAGGCAGGGAACTGACTTCTCACTGCTTCTTTGACCCGCCTCAGAAATTCCTCTTTTTTACTTATGCCTCGTAGTTCCACACGCCCCATCTGTTGTCCATTGGCAACATTTCAAATGCACATACAGAAACTTGAATAAGAAGGAAAATGGACAAATAAGAAATCATTTGGTTATTGTACAAAGTTTATATTACAAAATTTATGGGAAAAGCATAGCTGGAAACCACAGTTTGAAGACTCGTGAAGGATAGAAGTTGTTGAAAGAAAGTTCCAGACAATATAGTTTATAGATATGTTTAAAATTTCACGTAAATGAACACACATGCACACTAACATAGTGGAATATCCAATAAATCAATTCACAAACCTGAGAGAAGTAAAAAACTCCAATAACAAACACTACAACATGTTTTGAATGGAAGATGCATAATGAAAGGAATTCTAGCCTCTTGAACGCTCAATTTTTCAAGGCTTATGCTTCCAATTGAGTTTAAATAGTGGTTTTGCAAATTTAGATTGCGTAAGTAGAAACTAAAAACACAAACAATATATGCATTGGGCCCAAGCACACAAAACTTTACATTTCCCATTAGGAAGGGAAAATACAAGCGTAAGACAAGTACAGTCACAAAGTCACTTGTTTCTTAAGCTAGATGTACTTTTTTAAATTAATGTCCTTTTCTCTACTATTTATGGCGGATTACTTGTCCACTTTACTGTACAGTTTCTTATTGTAAGTTGTTTGTGGATGTCACATCGACATCTTTGTACATAACTTTTGGTTGTAAATTGTAATAAAGCATGTTTCTTCTCAAAAACAAAAAACACAAAAGTTTCCTTACAGAGAGTATTTCTCAGGGAAAAAAGGAGCGTATAACACTCAGACCAAACTCAATTTTAAATTTGACACTTCTACCGTACCTGGAGTCCACCAAAAATGAGATGGACGTGAGAATCAATAAATCCAGGGACGACAATCTTTCCCATAAGATCGAGCTCCTTAGTCCGATATCCAACCATATCCTGCATTTGAGAAGGTTATATTCAAAACTCACTGAACTTGGTACTTTTCCTTACCAACTAAGCTCATATAATGTAAAGAAAAGGTTATGGCATTTGCAATATAAGTAGATAATAAAAGGCCAGAAAAAATACAATGCCTAAATGCTACTTAGACATACAAAACCGACCACATTGCCGTACAGTAGTGGTCCCCACCTGCACTAAATTTAGACCGGTGCTCAACAATGTGGTCGGTTTTATGTCTAAGTAGCATTGTTGTTATGAAATTGAACAAAAGGAATGAAGTGGTGAAAAATAACAACAATAATATCAATCAAGCTGTTCGCCCTATTGCACCAAAGTTCGAATCCTCTCACCATACATTAGAGTATTTTATATTATTTGTATTGCAAAATTTGTAAAAATAAAAAAAAAATTGTGAAACATGGTGAACCTGGACGGAGGAGTAGTTGCCAACACGAAGAACCCTTCCGTTGCGAACAGCCATGGAATCGGCGAATGGGAGAGACTCGTCGCTCGTGTATATCTTGGCATTTCTCACCACCATGTCCGCCACCGGAGACTTCCACAAACTCCACCGCCACTCTGCAATAAAATTCAAGTATTAAAACTGAAAAATATAGAAAAAAATGGTGAAAATTGAAAGAGTGGGAGCAGGAGTTTTACGGTGGCCGGGATTGAGAACGAGAACGGCGACGACGAGAGCGACGGAAGCAGAGACGAGTACGAGGAATTTCATTTTCTTTTCTGAACTTGGCAGAGAGCCGGAGGAAGAGACAAAACTGAGTCTATTCAGTCTTCACTTCAGAGTCGCTTTCAGTTTGGTTGAGGAGAAAAAGTTGCCAACAAACGACGGAAAAAAAACAACAAAAACGACATAGCCACGGCCACAAGTGACGCCGGATTGGGAAAATGAGGAAACTAAGCAATTTTTACTAGAGCGCTGTTTCGTTACTATAAAAATTAAGAAAACTAATGAAAATGATTTGAAAAGTTTTAATTTTAATCAAAAATCATGTTATAAGTTTTGTTTAATGATTAGTACAAGATCCATATTGAAGTAGTCAAACTAAAAATGACCCAACTATCATAAATTATGATTTGTCGATTTTACTCCTAACTTTTTTAGGTTGAGTTCCAGATTTTCGTCATTAATGTAGTTCATCGTTGTTTTGCAGACCTTCTTTTTCTTTGAAACAAAAATATAGATCATCATGCTATTTAATTTATATTTTGTATTATTTCGTTGAAATGTGATCGTCGTTATTATTCATAGTGTATTCGAGGTCCTATTTTTCAATTTTTCTTCGTCAGTGGAGTTCATCATTTGTTTCTCCAGAAAATAAATTTGAGATCTGCATGCTTTTCAATAATAACGACGGGTCACTGTTTCTGGACTGTAAAAATAAACTCTTTCTGGAATTTAAGTCACTGTTTCTGGAATTTAAGTTACTGTTTTTGGAATCTGAATCATTGTTCCTGAAATCTAAGTAACGGTTTCTGAATCCAAATGAAATAGACACAGGTGATCATAACTCTTCTTTAACAGGAAACATTAAAAGGTTGTACCCATTGCACAAGGCTCCCGCTTTACGCATGGTCTGGGAGAGGTGAATGTAACCCAAATTATAGACAAAGTGATCCTCATTGACTTACCCAACTTTCAATAGAATTTTAATACTTCATGAAGTATTCAAAATTCTAGTTCATGCTTCTTTCTTTCGACAAAATATTCCCTAGTGTAAACCCCCTTCCCAAATGATTGCTATTACATCCTTATTTACAAAATTATTGAACGCAAGTTCATCATCACTATTTCAAGGTAAACGTATTAAATCCACATTGTGATTCCCGATAGCCTATCTTCAATCTGCATCGAAAGAATCATTTGAAAATCGTTTTGTGGATATAATAAGTTTACTAGAATTTTAAGTTACCAGTTAATGCAGAATATAAAAATCTTGAACAAGTAAGAAGCAATAACATTCTCTATATGGGTTCCTTTGGGGCTCAACCTAAATATGGATGTTTAAGGAAAACGGTTACCAGCTGAAGCAGAATGATTAGGTCCATATCCAGCTTCATTTCCTAAGGAAAAAGAGATAATGCAAGCATGATTTTTGTCTCTCTTAACCATGCCTATCACACGGTCCATCATTGCAGTAGCCCAGCTTGGTTCTAAAGTAGGATGCTTCACATGCCCAGAAAGATCAAAACCATGGGTCTCAATGTTGGCTTCATCTATCATGTACATGCCATACAAATCACAAAGCTCATACCAACGGGGATGTTGGGGATAATGACTGTTTCTCACAGCATTGAAATTGTGTTGCTTCATTAGCTTCATTAAAACCAAATCCTGTACACAAAACAGTGATGAAAACTTCAAGAACACAGTAAATAGAACCATCCCCTCAAGTTGCAGATCAACTAGGCAAGCAGAGAATAAAGAAGGGAACTAAAATATGCGTCACCTTAACCATGCAGGATTCTATGTTTGTCTTCCCCAGACGTGGATGATGCTCATGCCTGTTTACACCCCTTATTATTATTGGATGCCCATTAACAAGCAGCTGTTTGGGGGCTCTGGATACTTGTCGTATGCCTACAAGGCATGATTCACAGTCCACAAGGTTGCCAGATGCATCTTTCAATATAACAGCAAGAGCGTACAGATTTGGCTGTGGATGGTAAACAATCAGTTGAGACACTTGGATACGATACACACACACACACACACACACAGGAGAAAAGGAGTCGAAAGTGTTAAAAAGCAAATACTGCAACACAAGATTTGTAAAATTTAATTGTACAAAAACGAATCATCTGGTTATATACTTTCTTTCCCTAACATTTATTATTCCCATTAGAGAACAAGCATAAAAGAGACATGGAATGAGAGCAACAGGATTCAGCAACTAAAATTAAACTACAGATTCAAATTCTTTAATATTTACTATTTAGTACAACATCACCAAAAGCATTAGAACCTCAAGTCTTAAAGGCGATGGAAGTAAGAGAAAAAGTTTTTGCTAAAAACTCATTTATGGCCAGTTTATATCATATATTAATTGTGATCTGCTCTATCTTCTTCCTGCTCTATAAAGTACTCTCTTAGAGCATTCCCATTTGGAGGTGTATACTATTATCTCAAGTGATCTATCTACTTTATGCTTAAGTCGAGCAAGAACTTGATTACCATGTAGAAAAGAACAAATGCCATATTCTCAAAACGACTTGACTAGCTCTTAATCCTAACCAAGGAAGAAAATATCGGTAATATCGGAAATATCGGTAGTCCGAAAACACGGAAATATAGATGGAAATATCGGTAAAATATCGATATCGATAAAAATTACATGGAAACCACGGAAATTGTAAGAAAAACTTGGAAATTTTTATTGAAACTTTGTAGGATGCTTATTTAGTCAATTATCTATTAGTTTATCACAAAAAATTGGAAAGAAATGCATTGCATGATGGATTTAACATTATCAAGTTGATTATATAGAGAGCTGACAAACATTGTGAGTGTAAAAAATATGTAGTAATTAATGAAAGAAGTCTAAACACACCATAATCATTTATATATAATGAATTAGTACAATATTTGGAGGTTTTATTTAGGATATTAAAAAAAAAAAAAAAGTGAATAAAATGATGAAGAATAATGTGCCGAATTTGACACTTTAAATTTCTTACACATAAGCATGCGTTTAGGCGTTGAAGTTCCAAATTATAGTATATCAATTAACAATTGAAAATCAATACATTGAATAAGACTAAACTTTAATTTGGATGCCGATTATGTTTTTTCAAGTTTATATAAAGTAAAAAATTGAATTTTGGAAGTCCGGAGTGTGTCAATTGTTTTATAATTCGTCCGAATACATATATCAGGTTGCTACTCAACGTAATTTGAAAGTATATCTAGTGCAAGGACTTGTCTTTTTTTGTTGATAAGCAAAGGGTTTGTAGCTTTTTTTGCTAAGCAGTAGAACATATTATGTTTGTTTAATCTTTAGCATTTGATGGTTGTCCACAAATATAGGATAGAAGGCCCCAAATTAGATCTGGCTCTTACCTAGTTGGAGTCACAAGTTCACATGTACCAGCCCTTGAGGCAAAACGTTTTGGTTTTCCGGCCAAACCACGGCGAGTTGGCTGGCGTGCAAGGTATCAATCTCTTCGTCTCGTCGAGTAGTACAACTTTCCTTTTTGTTTCACTCAATTTCGTTGAGTATTGAAAAAGTTATACTCATTTGAATCTTACCCAGTTTCCGGCGACCTCAGTGGCTTTCGAGGCAATTTCCGGCCAAACCACAACGAGTCAGACGTCGTGTGAGATACCATTCTCTTCGTCTCTTCGAGGGCTACAACTTTCCTTTTTGTTTCACTCAATTTAGTTGCGTATTGAAAAAGTTATACTCATTTGAATCTTATTCCGGCGACCTCAGTGGCTTTCGAGGCAATTTCCGGCCAAACCACGGCGAGTTGGCCTGCGTGCAAGGTATCAATCTCTTCGTCTCGTCGAGTAGTACAACTTTCCTTTTTGTTTCACTCAATTTGGTTGAGTATTGAAAAAGTTATACTCATTTGAATCTTACCCAGTTTCCGACGACCTCAGTGACTTTCGAGGCATTTTCTGGCCAAACCACGATGATTCAGACGTCGTGTGAGGTACCATTCTCTTCGTCTCTTCGAGGGCTACAACTTTCGTTTTTGTCTTGCTTAATTTTGTTAAGTTTTGACAAAGTTATGGCCGTTTAAAATGGGTGTGGATTTTCGGCCGAAATTCCTATTTTCTTCCTTGGTCGAGTCCCACATCGCCCAGAGAGGGCAGTGAGCAAGCCAAGAACGCCTATAAAAGGCACATTCACACGCTGAGAAATGCATGTCTTGGTTGGCCTTTGGGGGCTTTGATCAAGTATAGTATGTGTTGAGATTTTTTAACATTTTTAAGTATTTTTTAATATTATATTACGATATTATCGATAATTTTAAAAATATCGCGATATTATCGATAATATTGATAATATCGTGATATTTGGACGAAAATCAGTTGGATAGTTAAAAAATTTTCGGATCTTCAAAAAAACGATAATATTGGCGATATTTCGCCGATATTATCGATTTTTTCTTCCTTGATCCTAACTAATATTTAGTTCAGGCAGGCTGAGTAAGGGAGAAAGTTGTAACCTCTAGTATTCACAAACTCTGGTGTCATGTGAACAAGGAAATCTACTTATCCTATAGGCTGTTATAATTTAACAAGACATTTCTTCCAACATATCTAGCACAAGAAATCAAAATAAGTTATCTAACAAAAAGGTGCAGCACACACAAATACTACACATTAGGTTAAAATATTCCCAGTGCCCAGGAACGTCCAACATCTGACAGATATTTTTGGAGATCATCAATGACTCAATGAATACTAATAAGAAAAAAAGTGCATATAACTTCAAATGGTTGCTTTTACCTTAATAACAAGACGGGAAGAAACAAAAAGAAACAACAAATCAAGAGCCCTTGCTCAGCAGACCAAAGCCTCGGCTTTTCCAGTCTCCCTTCCAGCCAATAACCATGAAATCCAAGGCGTGTGCTAGGTGAGGGATTAAGCTTTAAACTAGCCACATTAGATGAGGCCAGATCAGCAAATCCATCACTACTGTACCAGCTAGCCATGTCAAATAATGAAGCTTCTTTTGTGTAGTTGGAAAGAATACTATCTTTAGATGTTTCTCTGGAGTTATCTATTTTCACATCAACCTGGTAAAAAATGAAAAAACAAAATAATTAGATAATTAAATAAAAAAAATTTCGATGTAGTGAAATAGCACGAAGAAGAGAACATAATCACGTCATACTGTATATTGATAAACGGGTATATTCCAAAAGCCTGACAGATAAATCAATTACAGTGTAAACTTAACAGACATTGTGATAATCAAAGGAAGAGTGAGCATAACAAAATAATCAGATAGTATGAATAAGAAACGTTAATGGGTCACAAACTATTGTCCAGGAATGTGCAAGAGAGGTCCATCCAGACAAAACTACAAAACATTGTTTGTTTTTATTACTCATTTAAAACAAAGACATCATTCCTCAATTAATAGATACTTGCCTGTATGTCTGCATAAGAAAAGTCCTCGGCCAGAGTTGATTTGAAAAAATAGTCTGCAATGAATACCTGCACATCAGTTAAACTTAGGATTTAATGGTATGCAATTGCCAAGTAAAGTTAGGAGCAAATAGTAGTTTATGTTATTCAAAACAATGAGGAAATAGTTAAGATCATTTTATATGTCTAACCAAAGTAAAATATGTATTAGCGAAGTAATGAACTAGATCATGACTTCAATTTTTTACAAAAACACATCTGCACACTGACATGCTGACATGTGAAGAGATGGAATGATCTTATTGTATATTCAAATCATCAATGCATACATGTCCCCAGTCTCCCGCTATATAATAGCTCCAAGAAAAGACCATCGCACTGTCTAATGGTATTTAAAAGAAAACACAAATGCAAGAAGATAATAAAACCTGTGGCTTGGAAAGGAGAAGCACATCACGATGAATGCCAGATAACCACCAATGATCTTGATCTTCAAGGTAAGAGCCATCACTCCATCTGAAAACTTGAACAGCTAATACATTTTCTTGTCTGTACTGGATGGGTAAATATAGTCGGTGATTTCAAATTCAGCAGGAAGTCTGCTGTCCTGAGTGACCTAGCACAAAATGAAGGTGGTTAATGTATCTGACAGAAATTCCTACCAAACCATGCATCCTTTATAAACACAAAATGATCTTCACTTTCACATTGCTATATGCACTGAGTGCTACAATCTACAAGATCAACAAGTGCGCTTATTGCTAAATAATTAAAAAGCCATTAAAAAATTACCCATATCCTATCGGAATCCCATTCACCCACGTGCAGAAAGCAGAATCAACAGCTTCGAAGTGCAAAAAATCCTGCGACCTGTCAAATGCTAGTCACATGTCATATAAAACAGAAAGCACGAGGGGTGTCATGCAGGTGAATCCTCAGTGTGTGTAATGATGCATACATTCCGGAATGTAATTACATTTCAAAATGGTTACTTTAAAGTTGAAAATAAGACTATTTCGAAGCATACAAATTATAACAAGGTACAGGTTTTGAGATCAGAAAACAAAAAACAGAAGGAAAAAAGAATAAAAATAAAAGAATTCAAAAGCGTCACTAAATAGGAAGCAGCAATGCATTCAAATTGATCATACCATTCCATTCTTTAGGAATGTCAAAGTATGTCCTATAACAGCCGGTAGGATTGTCCGCAGGGACAAAAGGTGGATCCAGTGGAAATGGATAAACAACGTTTGTATAAATAGGCCGATCAAATCCATGCAAGTGCCAATTTGTTCCATTAGAGAAAAAAAATAATGAGTTGGATGAAAATTGCATGTCCTAGATACGGAAAAATCATGATCGAAGAATAACATAAACAGTTCACAAACTTGTAACATAAAGGTATTGTTAATGCTCAAACCACTACAAGGAATAAGGACATAACAATAAGAATATAAAAATATTATTAAATTTCCTATTCTTTTAAAAATAAAGATGAAAAGATAATTATGGAATCATGAAGTTACAATACAAGCAAAGAATTTTCCAAATTCCACAAGCTTCAGTTAGCGACTATAGTTCATAGCACAATTTTATATCCGGAAGCAACTGACTCATTTGTAAGCAGCACGTCTAAGCAGTTTCACCATCTGACATGCCTACGTCTCTTGAAAGAAAAAAGGTGGTGAAATACAGGGCCGATTCATGATAGCAAAAATCTTCTACCAGAATAACAATTAGTCAACTTGCATGTGAACATAAATTAACTGAACAATTAAAAATGCGTACACATAAACGTGCCTTCAACGTCTGTCACATATCCATAACATTGAATGCAAACTACACCGTTGCAAAAAGGAATATACAAAGAAGCAGTGTAGAGAAAACTCATGGTTAAAGTAAAATGATCCAGTAGATTTCTGGCATGCATGAGAGAGACATGTTTAAGAAGAAACAAAATTCATAAATCATTTCTTGAAATGGAACAGTAGCAGTGAAGGAGTCCTGAATTGAAACTTGGACCTATCTATCTACAAAAGAAATGTAACTGGAAGAACTTCAACAAAGAAATTCCCCCCAACCTGCCTTCCAATTTAGCAGAAAAATTGAATGTGGTGGATCCTTGGATCTACTGAGACTGATTCCCAAAGTGAAGACAGTAAACCTCATGCTAACCCTCTCCCAAAGAGGTAGGTCCTTAAATTCTAGGTAGTTGCAGATATAAATATATCTTGATAAATTTTATTGGTTTCCCATCAGTTCCTAGAACTTGATTGGATGCGAGCCAACTATCAATTCTACACTCCTACTCAACACACAATATAAATATAAGGAAGAAAGTGAAAGATACAGATCTGCTTACCAGGCAAAGTTTCCCACTGAATATCAGGAAATGCAAAGTCATAAAAATTTACGGGAACATTTTTAGGACTGGAAGCCAAGAAGAATTTCCAAAAGCCTGACAAGGACTTGACAAAAGGCAAGCCCTTGACCCAAAGAGCCGCACTGTCAAGAGCTTCAAGAACAGCATCATCATTCCAAACAGCAGAGTCGGATACCAGAAAATTCACTTTGTTGCGTTCATACCAATATTTCAGAGACCCTGCACAACATAAGGAACATCAGATATCTTCTAGAAGTAACGCATTCAATCAGAACTTAGATGATGGTGCTCCTGAATCGTGCACCCAAACATCTGAGTCCGACATGGAACTATTTGGTTCTGCAGTTTTAAGGCTTGGGAAAGGGTACAATATTCCTTTCCCATGTTCCTAATCCTACCCAGTTACGTGTACTATCATGTGTATCAGGTTAATGCCCCCAACCTTGAACAAGACGCCCGTACTATTGGCAATATGTAACACCATGCTCACATACCAAACCATGGCACAGTTCATGAGCGATGTGCGATAATACAAATTGGCATCACAACCATGCCACATCTTTCCCTATTCACTCTAGATATTTAAAAAAAAAAACATTTTTACCAAAAACCTAATGTATCACAACTCCTACAAAAACTTTAACCCAAATATGTTAACCCAATCGATGAGCTTGCACATACAATACATATAACTTATACTCAAACGTAGTCGAGTATAATCTGCAAAGTCAAAACTATACATGAAATCACTAAACCATCATCATTTACGATATGTATCGCGTGTAGAACCTCAAATTCATAGTAAACAACTCAGCCAAACGCATTCGAACGTTAAATTTACATCCAAAATACAATGTGAATCTGAATCAAAGAGTTATACTTCAACAATTCATCAATAAACCCCAGCAAAAAACAATTCAACTACTCAACCTAAAGCTTAAAAATACAAAAACCAAATTCAAGAAATCAAATTTTAGAAAATCAAAAATCAAAGCAACAAGAAACTGAAATTGAAAATGGAATGCCATGAGTGTGACCTTCAACTGATTCATGGCAGCGTAAAGGGACATGGGCGTCTTTCTTCCGCCATTTGATGATCGACTGGTCCTCCCACACGTGATGCTGCCCGTTCTCTAAGAGGGAAACGAGTTGACCCGGCAAGGAAGCAACCATAGCCGAAACTCAGATGTTGTGGATCAATCAGACTGGAGTGGGAGTGGAAGTGGGAGAGTGGAGCTCATAAAGCAGTAAGACATCAAGAAAATGGTGACTTTCTTTGTATAGATTGTCGTATTTGGCATATTCCTTCACAAAAAAATTTAAATAAAATAATGGTTGATTGGATAACCTTGCACGTTTCTTTTGGATCCGTTCATCGTACATCGTGAGTTAAATTTTTGTCAACTATTGTTTATATTCAATTTTAAATAAAAAAATTACAATGATTTCTGACCGCATGATGTACGATGAACGGATGTGATTAGAGGATCCGATCGGGATCTTAGTCATGCTAGGTTGGGATGGTGGCCCAATTAGCCGGTTTTGTTTGATTTGGTTCGGTTTAAGTTTCAAATCCCATTGATCAAGCTAGTAACATAGTTGAACTAAAAGAATTAGTAAAAGAAAATAATAACTATATACCTTTTTTTTTTTTCTTCTTGGATGCTCACTTTTTGAATTTTAATCATCAAATTGAATGAATTAAAACGAAAATAATGAACATGATTAAACAAGATTGTGTAAGAAAAGAGAAACTGTGCATGATTATTTGTAATCCATTGAACAAATACGTTATATTACCTCAGAGATATATATACAAGGAATTTCATAATCTAAATTAAAAATAGTAATAGACTGAGAATCTTTTTGGTATTTTGGTATTAAGGGTTTAACTAAAATTGTGATACCATTTTTTTCTTCTTGGATGCTCACTTTTTGAATTTTAGTCATCAGATTGAATGAACTAAAACGAAAATAATGAATATGATTAAACAAGATTGTGCAAGAAAAGAAAAACTGTTACGTGATTATTTGTAATCCATCGAACAAATACGTTATATCACCTCAGATATATACAAGGAATTTCATAACCAGAAGCACTAAACCAGAAAGATGAAAAAAAGAGGAGCATTAAATAAAAAAAAAATTCGAAATCAGATGCGTAATAAACTGAGCAATAGAAGCCACTGAAGGCCGTTGACAAGACTTCTGCATTTCATATATAATAACTTTGATTTTTTTTCAACTGCAACATAAGTAAGCAGCTTACTTTTCTCCCAATTCAGGGTTCGGGTTAACTGCATCCAGTAGCTACCAACTAGTTAAACTAATCAACGCTCTCGAATTAAACATAAAGCAACGAACGAAATGCTGAATTTGTCAGGAGCTGCTAACGACTGCTTAATATATACAAATCAAAAGGCAGAGGAGCAGAATGTTCAGAACCTAATTACAGCAGAATCTCAAAATGACCGATGCCCTACTGCGTCTCCTCGTTCCCAGTTTGCTCCGAAATGGGGGTTTGACTTACAGTTTCCTCTGCAATGGGAGTTTGAATTGGAGTCTGTTGTGGAATGGGGTATTGACTGGGAGTGGGGTTTCGCTCCCGATTCCCTCCTCTCCTGGTAAAATACTTGCCTATGAATGTTTCGGCGACATCAGCATACTTTTCCTTGATGTAATTCTCCAGGCATTTTCTATATGAAAAATCTTCCTTGTGACCGTCTGTTGTCACAACAAAAAAGCATCTGCTGTCCTGGAAACTGCCGTGCCTATCAACCTGTCATCAATGGCCGGTGTAAATTAGGACAATATGAGACCAAATAAATCCATTAATACATAAGCCAAATTCATTCCAAAAAAAAAAAAAAAAAACAGCTTCGAAAATTTGTGTTTCTTTTGGTTTTCGATAAGAACACAACAAAAGCAATATTGGGGGGGGGGGGGGGGGGAGGGGGGGGGGGGGATGTCATTACAAGGCAAATAAATTCCTGAGAAAAGGTAAATAAGACGAGGTATTCTGGCCTGGCTATGTTTTCCAAGTACTATGAAAGAAACCTCTTCCCCGTCATTACTTGTCCAGAGTAAAAAACCCTCGACACAGACCGGAATCATAATTCGTATTTAAAGACATGTATATACTCCTCTCATGTCTTCTTATCTGAAAGATTAGATCTCCTCAACCTTGGCAGGCTGGAGCCACGAGTGAATAGCTATACCAAATGAGAAGAAAAATGGTTTTCCGACTAAACCCCATCTAGATCATCTTCCTAACTGTAGCAACCCTTTGCTAAAAATTAAATATCGACTAAAAAAGGGTTTTGAATTCCATTGAGAAGCAGACCAAATTTAGGCATTACCTTAATGGACAATGTACAAAATTCAGTATAAACGTTGTAATTCAGTAAAAAATAAAATGAACATTATACTAACCAATATAACAATGAAATCATGAGTCATAGATTCCAAGCATAATGTATCAAATGTGCACAGAAACATAATTCTAAATAAAAAGCAGTTAAGCAAGAACAGGGCAGATAAACATACTGTGAGATGGCCAATTCCAGAACCCATTTTAACAGCTTTATCCGGGTGGTAATTGAGAACATTATCAATTATAAATGACTGGTCATCAGCTGACAGTGGATCCCCATCATTGTACCTGGATAAAATAATTTAAAAGCCGATATTAGGTTAGTATATTGTCAAGCACCAAGCAATGATGTTGCAACAACTAAAACATTCAAAAAAGGAAAGAAAGAAAAAGAAAAAAAAAATCAAACAGTTACAGAATAACGCACCAATAATTATAATGCCCCAAAATGAAATCAATTATTTAAGATCAAGATCAGTGAAGATATGATATCCCTAAGACATCTCAAAAGGAAAGTCAAATGCAACATGTAAAATTCATTAAGCTATCAGATGCCCTTCCTTTATGGTTGTTACGCTTAATATTTATGCAAAGATAGGCTTTATATGAATGGGACGTACAATCAAAGTGGACAAGCAGTCCACAAATATGCTGTTGACAACCTGCAAACCAAGATATTAAAAGTATGACAGAGTGCACCATCCAACAACGCAGAAAACAGAACAAAAACCACCCATACTACAATCAGGACAATTTACAGTATAGCAGCTTTCTAGTAGAAATTGGGCAAGGGCAACCATGGTATACAAACGTGACCGAAGCCCAGCGAGGTGCAAAAACCTAAGCTGTCTCTCATAAATAGTCCACAACCTCCCCAACTTTGTCTTTGAACTTGGGAGTCCCAAGAGTTGTAAAGCCAACTACGTTCTATGATGATGTTTTGGGAGGGACTTCGGTCTTAGACTTTGGCTCAACTAGAGTTTTGGCAGATGAATATGAAACAACATCATTGCACTACATGTGATTTATGATAATTCAAATGTTAAATAGCAGTTTCCTCGACTGTGAGGGAGGATTTTGTCAGCAAATTCCCCAGATTTAAATGGATTCTTACTTCAGACAAGACATCTAAGCGTCAAAAACTCAGTTCTCCTTCAGAAAATTGAATAGCATCATACACTTTGATAATTTGATCAGTCTCGTCCTAATTGATAAGAAAGAATATAAATAGAAAACTAACCCAGATTGATGCATTATTCTTCGGATAGAGCGCATAACAGGTTCAATATTAGAAAGAACATCTTGCTCCTCGCTAGGGAACATATCCAATCTTTGTCTTGTTGCAGTATAGAGTCCAACCACACTGGAATTATCATTCATCATACCAGGTGGTTTAGCAGGACGGTTCTTATTCTTCCACTCCCCGGGACTAGAAACCCAACTCTTTGAACCTTCAAAACGACTTTTCTTGTTTTGTCCCCATTGGTGATGTCTTTCACCAGTATTACCGTCTCCACTAGGTGAATCCCACCCAGACAAGCTTGCAGGTTGAGTTTCTTTCTCGGGAGGATTTTTCTGCCCCCAAGAACCAGTCGAAATTTCGGAAGACTTATTCTGTTCCCAAGCATTTTCATTCCCTGTTTCTGTTTCCCCAGAAGAAACAGCACCCCATCCATTGTCCTTTTCATCTACGTCTTTTGTTGTTGGCGGGAGGTCTATTGGTGCGACTTTCTCTGCCCCTCTACCACTCCAAACATTTTCACTTGCCTTATCTGTCCCCCAGGTAGAAGTGGTATGTTCTCTAGTTTTCCCCCAGGTAGATGTGGCATCTTCTCTGGCAGTATTTGTCCCTGACGTAGGAGTGGTATCTTCTGCTGCCTTCTCTGTCCCCCAAGTAGAGTTGGTAGGTTTTCTGGCTGGAGTTTTCCCCCAAGATGATGTGTCATTTTCACTTTCCTTATTTGTTCCCCAGGCAGAAGCAGTTTTTTCTCTAGATTTCCCCCAGGCAGGTGTGGCATCTTCTGTGGCAGTACTTGTTCCCCATGCAGGAGTGGTATCTTCTGCTACCTTATCTATGCCCCAAGTAGAGGTGGTAGGTTTTCTAGCTGGATTTTTCCCCCAAGATGATGTATCATTATCACTTTCCTTATCTGTTCCCCAGGCGGAAGTAGTCTTTTCTCTAGATTTCCCCCAGGCAGGTGTGGCATCTTCTCTGGCAGTACTTGTCCCCCATGCAGGAGCGGTATCTTCTGCTGCCTTATCTATCCCCCAAGTGGATGTCAAAGTTTCTTTAGCTGGAGTTTTCCCCCAAGATGGTGTATCTTTTTCACTTGCCCCCCAGGCAGAAGTGGTAGGTTCTCCAGTTTTCCCCCAGGCAGATGTGGCATCTTCTCTGGCAGTATTTGTCCCCCATGCTGGAGTGGTATCTTCTGCTGCCTTGGCTATCCCCCAAGTAGATGCGGGAGGTTCTTTAGGTAGAGTTTTACCCCACGATGATGTATCACTTTCACTTTCCTTATCTGCGCCCCCTGCAGAAGTGGTATGCTCTCTAGTTTTCCCCCAGGCAGATGTCGCACCTTCCCTGGCAGTATTTGTCCCCCATGCGGGAGTGGTATCTTCTGCTGCCTTATCTATCCCCCAAGTAGATGTGGTAGCTTCTCTAGCTGGAGTTTTCCCCCAAGATGATGTGGCATCTTCTCTTGTAGTATTTGTCCCCCATACAGAGGAATCATTTTCCCAACTTGATTTTCTAGGAGGAGTTTCTGATTTGTCCTCAAATTCAATAATATCTTCAAAGACGGGTCTATCTAGACCAGAGTCAAGTTCTGGCGATAAGCACGAATCTGCTAATTCATCTACCACCATAAGATCATCAACTTCTGCCCCCAGTGCTCCCGTAGTTGCTTCTTCTCCATTTGCT